GAGAACAGTAAGCATTATGTTCCACAGTATTCACCAAATACCAGTCCATCACTACTCATTGACATCCACAGCCAAAGTTGAGCTGTGATGTACATTTAAAGAGCGCCATCGTATGCACAAACACTCCCGTTTATCAGCACCAGTAGAGCTGATCCTTCAAAGATGGTGATATGATTTATAGTTGTACGTGTTCATGCCCCTGTTGTGCAGCTTTCTTCGGTTTATTTCTGATTTCTACTTCATCATTTGTATGTTTTTTTAGCTTCAGGCATTTTGTTTTCATAGCAACTCCAGCTAAATAATCTCGCTGTGGTTGTTAAATTTCCCATGTCACCAGGAGCTTAGCTTTTTGAGGAGCCTGTTCCTACAGACCATCCCTGTGTATCCTGGGAGGTTGCTATTTCCCAAATAAGTACCAAAGCATATCAACAGCTGGTGTTTGTGGTCAAGCAGAGTAATCGATCATTTCTATCGGATTTTTGCTGCAGCCAACATTCTGTTGCCTCTTTGCACTCTCGAGATCTGTAGAAATAAGCCTCTTGAGTGCAGAGTGATCAAAACCGTTATTTGACACATACTGGACATGACTTCAGATATCGCCTTCAGATAAGATGTGGCATTGCTTACTTTTCTAGATTTCACCTTATGTTGTGCCACGTGGAGATAGTATTTTGAAAAGCTACTTTTTTGTCAGGACCTTTTTTCTCCATATTTTTTGCGTTCATATCCAATTGATTCACCTCCTCAGACTCTGTTTTGTTTTATAAGATTTATTCCACTGTACACCTAGAGTGTAATATTACCAGCATGTCTCTAATATAAAAAGTTCTTTAGTTTTTCCTGCAAATAAAAAAAAAAACGGGTGGTAATTTTGCAGAATCTGAATGTCTGAATCTCAAACTGTGTTTCACCCAAGGGCTGTGGGGGCTTAGCAGGTGCCAGAAATGTGTGAGGATGGTCAGAGCACATGATAAAAGCCACTGTTTGTTTCCTGTGGCAATTCCACAAATAATTGCGCTCCCTTTTGTCACCACCTTTTCATTCCCCTTTCTCTCCTTAAGGTAACGTGTAATTGTTTCACCATCAGTGACGGGGAGCTGCAGGAGATAGGAGTCGGGCTGTATCCAAGGTAATACACACACTTACTAATGTATGCATACATAAAGACTAATGTAAGAACTCCACATACGCATATGCTTTATTTATTTTTAATAGACTTCCTATTGCCCCGTTTCGTTTAATGATACTTTTGACATGTTTCAGTATTTAAAAGCAGCTTTTAGATACATCCCTGCCACATCAGTTCCTCACCAACACATTTCAAAGCATTTTTTCTGCGCTCCTCACTTTTTCCTGACAGTTCTTTGAAGTCCAGAGAAGGGAGGCAAAGAAGAGGTGCAATTGACTCTGGAGGCAGAAATTTGAGAATGAATGTTGACAGAATATTAAAATGCTGAATGGGCAAAAGCAGCAATAGAAGCAAAAGAGAAGAAAGCACGCTCTGAGAATTGTTAGATTTGCCTCCGACTGATCTGAGATTGATGGATTTGTTGTTGTCTGGACGCAAAAATGCAGCAAGGCGATATGCTCAGTAATCCCTGTATTCTGTCCTGGGTGAATGGGGTGGGATTTGGCTTGGTGTTGTACATGCTTGTTAGTGCTCCTACACACACACACACACACACACTGCAGGTATCTCAGCCAGTTTATCTGGCCGGTGTTGAGATGTCAGATGGTCACAGTGGCATTACCCGGCTCAGCCAAACCGTGTGTGTCTGCGTGTGATTTGTGCTCTAACTCATCCATAAATGATGGGCTTGTTCAAGGATGGTCCCCCGCTTATTCATATTTTGGGTTGCCTAGCAACCGTGGGTTTTCCGAAGAAAGGGGGATTACTCTGCTGAGGCTGCACCTCAGTTCCACCCATCACTTTCTGTTCAATTCTTATCTCTGCTTAACCTGTAAAAACTTTTTGTTGACTTAGTGGCTGACTTGTTCTGCCCTCATCCTGTTGCACATCATACACAACCGCTTTTCAGTGCTAATTATCCCATTAAAAAATCCAACTTCATCTGAGCTCTTCATCACAAGTGAGAAGATTTAGTTGATACTACAGACCGTCATTGAACTGTTGAATTCCATCTCAACAATGTACATAATGTCAGCTTATGAAAACCTGACATAAAACAGCAGAGATCCCCAGACCATATTTCAGATGTATTCAGACTGAACAGTAGTTGACATTTTAACTTAAGATCGTGTTTGGGCACAGGGATAGACGTGGTTACTTTGCCATGTCGAACATAAAAGGTGAATAGCATCCTTTCAGGGAACATGTTTATCGTGCTGTGCTCTCAGAAAAAGAACAAAATTCCATTAGAAATGTGAGGACACACCTGAAAGTTGAAACATGATGTTTCTTGCCCAAAGAGTAGAGGGAAGATGTGACAATAGACTATTGTGATATCACTGAAGTGTTGACGTGATAGAAGAATCATCCTCTGAGAATCCACAGTGCTCAAAGAGTCTGATTATGAGTTTTCCTCAAGGTTCCAGATGGCTTTATGAAGCCTCTTTTACTGGTGACGTAGGTGGAAGGTATTTGAACGGCAGTCAGCTCTGAGCTGTTTCTTGGTTGACAGCAGGACCGTGTTTCCGATCTAAGGTGAGCAAGTGTTGCTCACTATTAGGTCTTCTGGGCAGCAGCAGAGGGGCCTGAAGGCGGACTCTGAAGCAGGCAGAAGCATCACATCCTGTGATTGTGCACACAATGACAAGAGGTGTCCACACAGGTGTAAATTGCTACACAGTCTCACACACCTGTGTGTGATTGTGGTCTTCTGATCAGGCACCAAAGCCAAACACAGTCTGGTGATTGGCTTGTTGCTTTTCATAGAAATGGGGAGATGACACCGTGGAGTGTTTTCTCTCAAGAAATATCAGCCGGATTCAAGGACAGTAGTTTTATTGTGACCTCACTGTCACTTTTGACCCTCCATCCTGCTGAGCGCAGCAACAGTTATTCCCACAGAAACATTAATGTGAGACATGCTTTAGTTAATTAATCTAATTAGTATGCTAATGAGCTGCTCTCCATCAGATAAAATAATCGTTTTAAGGGCTTGATGTCTAGTTGATATTCATCCTGTGACTTCTCCACTGTAGAGGAAGGCTGGGGGGGTTACTGGTGCTTTTACTAAAGCTGAACACACACTCTTTATCTCATGGCCCATTGTTTAGCTGAATATGATAAACGATAGCTGCAATAATGGAGGTGGGCTGTAAAAAAACCCACACAGACCTCTTCAGTGTTTTTTGCCAGCCATGTGTGCAGTGACATTAACTGGCTCTTTATTTATGCGCGTGGGAGGTCCTCAGTATCCTTAACATGGAAAACATGCTCATTAAGTCCAAACTTTTTGGTTTGGTAGTCTTATTAGCAATCACCCACTCTGGTGTCATGCTTTTAGCTTCTGAGGTTTTTCAGTTGATTAAGAAAGCATAGAAGACAACTAGCACATTCATATTCTCTTTTTTACTCACAGTTTATACATTTTGCTTCATATCGCTCATCTTGCAGGCTGCAGTGTTTAGCAATGGTGAACCTTAAAGCTCTGTGTGTGTACTTGAAGTATGATTTGTCAAGGACATCACACATTACTCATCAAATATTTAACAGGACTGCATTATTACTCATTAGGTCAAGTATGGCCAAGTAATACAGCCAGTTGTAAAATATTTCTGCCTCTCCACTGTCCTCAAATTGTCTTCATTAGTCGGTACCTTCGGAATGATTTCTCCTCACTCTAAAAATGTAACCTCACTAAGGTGATATCCTGCCTCCAAATCTGTGTCAGCTGGGTTTTATTAAGCTGGGCAGCAGTGGCTATATTTGGCCTAGAGGGAACAATGTGTGAATCTCATTAAAAGAATTAGAATTGGGAACGGGGAGTGCACCAATTTGAACGTTTTTGGCTTTTAGTTCTGTCAAAGATAATAATTTGGCTAAGGGTTGATAGCCCATATAGGCTATTTTGGTCAGTTATTTTCTTTACTTCATTGCCAAAGAAACTGATGTAGACCATTAAAAAAATAGCTTTTTTCAGGTCTTTTTTTAAAAACACATTTAAGAAAAGGAAAGAAAAGTAGAAAAAGTCTGATGGAAATGTCCCAATCTTTATCAATCCTTTGTAAAGAACAACCACAAAAAAACTTAATAAAACACATAAACTTGCCAAATGCCAAAAACAAATCAGCCAGTGAATGAAAGGAAAGGACAAATGCAGTATTGATCTGGAGCCGTGTTTTAACAAAACTAGAGACTCCTGATGCATTTCTGTGTGTTTCTGTCTGTATTTCAAGCAGAGGGACAAAGTTGTTCTTTTATCTCCAGACAACAAGCAAGTTAGAATGTGCTGCATACTTTATCAAGTCATTTATTTTGCTAGGAGAGACATGAAGAACATAATCAAGTGGGAGGAGAGTGGGTGCTCTTCAACAATGTTTAAGTGGGTGGGAGGTATAAAGTAAGTATCCCAGTTTCCCCACACAATGTAGCATTACATTATAATCAGTGATCAGCATCTGCCTGGGATTTAATTGGTGTTGCTAAGCAATACATTCACACAAGATTTTCTTTTCAAAGGTTTACAGAGTGTATGTGACAATTAAATGTAGATAAATGCATCCCCCCTCCTCCTTCTTTTCCATTATTTATGCTCTATTAGTTGTCTTGTTTCTCTTTTTGATTCTCTGTTCTTTTTCCATTTTGCTTCTTGTCTGCTCTGTTTTAGTCTTTCTCTGCTAAACCATGACTGCAGGCCAAACTGCGTCATGGTCTTCGAGGGAACACAACTGAAGCTCAGAGCTGTCCGGGATATCAACCCCGAAGAGGAGGTATGGGAGGGGAAAAAATCATTAAAGGAATAACAATGTGGATCAGGAGCATATTTTCATTCATTTGGACGTCTTGGCTTTTTTTCTATACACGTTATTTATTGAATTGACACTTCAGAAACTTTTCAGTGGTATATGATATAAATTGGAGGGCCATCTCTGCCATGAACGGAATTGTTTTAAACACAAGTGTTAACATGTGGTACACAATTAGTTTGACTCTATTAAAGAATTATTAAAACCTGTGGCCAAGTGAAATATCGCAGGAACACACAGGATGATAGTGTGACGGTGTTTTTCCATTTTTCCATCATCTCTTGCAACTTTGTGTAATGAGATGCATTGTGACTGTATGTAATGAGATGCAGCCATGCCATCTGGACTAAACCACTCTCACACACCCACACACACAGCTCCCACTGCATAATTTCTCCTTTCACTCAGTTTGAAGTTTTTGTCCTTCGTGAACTTAACTACCATATATGGATGTAAAACAGTAATGTGCAAAAACCATACCAGAGAATTCATTTTAAGTTTATGTTTGCTTTGATGCTGGATTTCTGTCCTTGTTTAGCTGACTATAAGTTACATTGAGACACTGTCCCTGACTGAGGATCGGCAGCAGCAGCTGGAGGAGCAGTACCATTTTACCTGCCACTGCCAGAGATGTCAGACACAAGAGGACCAGGAGGAGGTCAGACACAACAAACCCAAAAAGCAGAACCCTACACACTGTTTTACACTAATAAGATTTCTGTTTTTACCCGCACACTCTGATCCAAAATGGATCATCAGAGCATTCCTCTTCGTTTTCTCTTCACTACATTCTGAGATGCATGGAGATACTTTCATTGCACAAATACACCAATGGGACACGGCTTTGCTGTGCCGTCCTCACTTTTCTGTGAGTTTAGCTGTGCAAGTGCATACATTTAGATGACCGGACGACGCTCGTCAAGGGAAAAATAACAGAGCCGATGCAGTGGTGCATCTGTGTGCTAGTACTAATGTAGAAACATCTATGCCGTGCACTGTCAAGCAGTGAGAGTGGAAGTGTGTGGTGTGTCACGCTGTTATGTGATGGTGTGAAAGAAGTCCAGTTAAATGGTTAAAACTCCGATCAGAGCTCCAGTTGTCTGTCAGATTGTGATGCTGAAGGACCTTGTAAAGTGTGGGTCCATTTAACCGTTGTTCCAGATAACAGTGCACTGAAAAACTTCTGCATGCCTTTTTGTTTATGTGTGTTGGATTTATTACTTTTGTCCACGAAACAATCAGTCATTTTTTCTTCATAAAGTCAACGTTCAAAACTGTTCTTGAAGGTAAAAAATTGCTAACATATGTATTTTCTCTCTCTTTTTCCGTCATCCATAGTCACACGCACAGACACATTTTTCACTCCTACGTGTGTTCTGCTGCTCAGGCAGCGTATCGGTGCATAACGCGTCCTCGTGTACCCTCACCTGTCCTCTTCTTCCTTCTCCTCCTTCACTCTGACAGTCTTTCTTATCTCCTGCTGTCCTCCTTTTCCTCTCTGTCACTCTGTCACGCTCCACCTCTTCACACCCTCCCTCTGTCTGTCTGGCCACCTACTGAGAAATGAGAAAAATTACCTCATCTCTCAGCTGCAATTTTCTATTCCATCCATCTTTTCCCTTCTATCATCAGCTGCTCCATCCTACTTTTATAGTATCGCACTGCCTCTATCTCAGTTTTCCATCTCACCATTCATCTTTTTCTCAGTGGCTTTGATATCTACATGCTGCTGTGTTAAGCTTATCCTTACTTCCTCTTTGTTCAGGATAGACTCATGCTCATTGGAGAAGAAGCAAGTTGGCGCCTGCTGAAGGAGGCTTTACCAAGACTGGAAGGGATAAAAGCAGAGTCCAGTATCTTTTATCTCTGTCATGTACCTCAGACTGTGGACACCAAACATTATATACTGTATATATATATATATATTTCCGCTTTACCTCATAACTTTGCAGTTTAATCTTCATTTATAAGTTTCCAGCATGAGTTTTGTTTTTCCTTAAGTTGTCGTCTAGATTGGCAAAAGCTCTTTGAGAGCTGTTGTCATCTGTTAACAGACACTGGAGGAGAAATTCCGGATGAAAATATCCTCAAGCTCAGGATCACTGACATGGCTTTAGATGCTTCCATTCAGCTGGGGCTCTGGAAGGAGGCTCTAATCTACGGGGTAAAGACCCTGCCTGCATACAGGTGAGTCTCTGTCTTTTGTTTTTTTTCATCAAAGTTGTCCCGGTGCTACCTCGCAGCCAGCACCTTTCTGTTTTAATCACCAAAGCACTAAGGCCGGCCCTGAATACTTCTTTGCTCAACAACAGCAGAGACCCAGCCCTGTTGGGGCCTGAGGCTGAGGTCCGTTTTTAAATCAAGGTGGGGGTTCTGAGGTAGTATCGTCCCCACATCTGCAGTTCCATAGCGGTTCAAAAAGTAGACCCAGTGACCAAAATTCATGATTTATGGGTGAGAGTGACTTAAACAACATTCACAGTGGTCAGCTTCAGTGACAGGTGATTTTAATAACCTGCTAAGTGTGAATGACCTCTCCCTGCTTAAGATGGGGTCTGAAAGTCCCCATCTTCTTTAGAACTTCATGAACCAAGAAGTTTCCCTACATCAAGGGAAAAAAAGAAAGAAAAGATGATCACTCATTTCCACGCTGGGGGGTGCAATTACTTACTGGGATTTTTCATGTTTGATCATATTATGCTTATTCAAAGCACCTAATTAATTTCTGTCTGAAACAATCTGGTTAGTGTCAGCACTTTCAAGTAAAAGAAAATTAAATATGCTTTGAGCTGTGCCAAACTAATCAGTTGACAGGAATTGTGAAAATGTTTTACATGGTGAAGGAGGTGTTTTCTCACTTTGGTGGGGGTTTTTCAGACCTTTTTGATTTGCGTGAATATCCAGAAAGAACAGTTATGTAGTGTTTGGACTTTACACCTTGACTGACACTCCTAGGAAAAAAATAGTTTGTTTTTGTTGAGCATGAGGAAAGACAAGTTATAGTTTCTATCATTAAGTGATTGAATAACCTGCTGCACACAGGAACACTGGATCTCATGATGTGTGCACACTACTCGTACTATTACGAACAGATTATCACAGTAATTTATAGTTACTGATTTTTAGTTTGTACAATCCTGATCAAGTTTAATGCCTGAAAATATTATCTATAGGGTGTTACAATGATTTAAGGAATCACCCCTATCATTACAAGAACCCAATGAGCTTGTGAATCTGCTTTAGGATAGATTTCAGAAAATTCTCCAATTGATTTTACAAACAGTTGCACAGAGCTGCATCTGTAAGATGTGCTTCAGCTTTAGATTTCAGTAAGATCTCTAATATACTTATTTATTAGCCTTTGGAATTATTAAGATTTGAATTTTTTGTCTTTGTTCCTCCGGTGTCTTTTATCCTTTTGTCTCTCGCCATACATTAATCAAGAAAAATCCTGTTTTAGGAATTCCCTTTAATGACGCAGAAGCAGAGAAGATAAAGGGGAAGGAAAGCTTTCCAGAGGAGACATAGTGTATGTAAGGATGCACAAGTGTGAGAAGTGCCTTTCAGCATCTCTGATGCATTAGAGGAACATGAAACATCAGGAATCTCATAAGGAAAATAAAGTATAGATATTTTATCTAAAGGCTTTTAAATATGTTATAAGGCCTTAGCAAGTATATCATGGTCAAAAACTGAAGCTGTTGCACACATCATATATTACTGACATTGACATCTTCAGAGAGAGCGATGTCTGTTTTTGTCAAATTCCCACTGCCTTGACATGCCTCTTATCCTCCAATAGCATCACACATGGGAGAGACAAAAATGTGAGGAAAACGTTTTGGAAATATTTTTGAAATACTGTTTGGCCAGCAAAAACGATAACAGGAATATAAGAAAAACAGTGAAACACAGCAGCTTAAACATAGCTCTTAAAGTATTTAATAGCATGCCAAAAACATGCTACTAAAACGTGTAATAAATTACCATCTAAAGGATAAACCTCTCCTTACAGGAGGCAAGAGATTGCTAATGTTTTACCTGACAAGAATAAAATGATTTTAAACCTAAAATGGCTTCAGGTTACTTTAAATTATATCATCGTCTTGTTTTATATGTTCAAACTTCACATCTCGCCATTATACTTCCTGTTCAGTTTTCTTCACACGTGTGTGTGTGTGTGTGTGTGTTTGTGTAAAACTCATTGATTTACTGTGAAGGGCAGAGCTGAGCCTTGTGCTCACATACCAGCAGCAGCGAAGCCACAGGAGACAACCTGCAACACTGCGTATAAATAAGTAATCAGACTGAGTGCTGCAGAAAGAAAGAGAATGATAGTGACCAGAATCAGGGGATAAGGGGTCTGAGAGAGTTTGGGGAGGGTACTGTGAAATATGCGTCTCATGGAAGCAAAAGACAGAACTGAAGTGAAGCATGGTTCTGAGCCTTTGGTCCATTGTGGCAAATTTCATTACTGCTGCTGATATTTTTACCGTCGTATTTCACCTAAATGGGTTGAAATCTGTTCTCATATTTCCTGAAAAAGCAGTTAAACTACTGATGGTCACCATTTTACACCAATCTAATGAATCAAAACAGTAATTTCTTCATCCTAGTTCTACATCTTCCAAGTTTCCAAGCAACAGTACGAGTAAATGGGGAGGCTCAGTGTGAATCTCAGAGAAGAGGTTTCCCTTAAATTGAATCAGCGTTGAACCAGAAAATATTTGCTGTGGGCTTCAGGTCTTTTGAAGGTATCATGAGCTTAATGAAATGCAATGCTGCAGGTTGAACGGCCATAACCTGACTGAGCAGAGAGGAGACATGAAGGTTGGCATTAATTCTGACAAAATAGAATAAGAATCCCAAGCAAAGAGGGAAATGTGGTGTTTATATAAGTAAAGCAGCCCAAAAAAATCTGTATATAAGTATCACAGGAGTAAGGAGAGAAAGCTATAATGAAAAAAATAATGAAATCGGAGTGGAGAGAAGATTCGGGAGAAATAGCGATAGTGGGAGGAGGATCCTCCATATTCATCTCCTATCCTACTCTGGGCCCTTCAGAAGGCAGGGAGGAAAGATTGCTGCAGGAGTTCTTGATATCTCTCTTTCTCCTGTCCTTCCCCTCATTCTGTATTCCTTTCTTCTTTTGCTCTCTCTGCAGGTCCTTTCCCGGGTTCTGTATTCAGTTTGGGGTGTACAGTGAGCTTATTCCCTGCGTATAATGCACACACCAGGCTGAGTGAACATCTCCCTCATGTTATAGACATGTTCATGCAGACATTCATGAATATGCAAAGCCATGCACATGCATGTATTTGTAAAAGCAGATATATTGAGACAGCTCACTAAAAGAAACAAACTGCTAAAACTTTCTTTTCAAGCAAAGATTTATCCTTGTGTTTGTGCTATTGTGACATGGCATTCAGCAGAATTATGGAAAGAAATGAATTGCGTAAGATTTCTGCACTTGTGAAGGCCTCAGTGGATCAGCCAAGTGCACCCACGATGTCAGTCCTCATGAATGTGTCGGTGGTTAGTGAATTGCAAAGTCTGATAGAGACGGCCGCTTTCCCACGCTAAGTTACTGGGGAGAGCGGCAACATTTCAAGCACACTGAAGTAGAATGAAAGAGGAAAGAAATTGTGAGATAAGTTATGTAAAGCTTGGTAGAAAAGATCAGTTTTTTTTCAATTTACTGTATTTTCTTTATTTAACTAATATGAACATTTTGGTAAAATGCCGCATCGGTTTGCTCCATTGTTGTCATTGAACAGATATTACTTTGCTTTAATAATGCCCACAAATTTCCAAGGACAGTTTTTTCTATTGAATACATTTTTAAATTGATTCTTTATGCTTGCCTTGCAGTTCATTAGAAAGGTTCACTAAACACAGGTTAGAACTTTTGAAGTGCTCTTTGTTGTACACACACACATATATATATATATATATATATATATACAGATATACTGTACATGCATTATACATACATGCTAAAGGTCGATTGGATTAATGTCTAATTGGAGCTCAACAGTGTACTTTGAGCTAACCTTTTCCCTCTTTGTCTGCAGTTTTCTCCTTAGTAAGACAGACTATGTTTCCCTTTCACAAACAGCAGGGTGTGGATCTTTTGTTTCAGACAAGTGCCTCATTAGTTCCAGTGCATTTGCCGAAAAATGCTACACTTTTCCACAACTATTAATTTCTCCTTTTCGCCCTCTTTCTATCTCACAGCCGGCAGCTATGACTTTCTAACTAGTTGTATACAGCCGTAAGACCATGCAGTTTTTTTAATTTACTCTCATGGGAAAAGAAATTAGGGAGCAAATCAGAAGACCGAAAGTTAATGAAATTATTTTAATTGCCCTGTGTTTGTATATGCAAAGATGAAATATAATTGGAATGTGGTCTTGATGTGTATTTTTATTTGTCACGGTTGCCTGAATCAGTGGCATGATAATTAAATCAATATTGCAACTTGTTTTTATTCATGCTGGACTAATGTTGTTGGTTTAGCCTCTGAACTCTCTATTTAACTATTAGATTTTAACCACATAATTTGGGGGCAGCCTCTGTAATGGGAGAGCCTGTCAGTTCTTGGTTTAGTTAATCTTACAGTTGTGAACAAATGAGCCATTAGAACTGTGACTTAAATAAACTGCTGGAAAATTATCAGAAAAGCTTCAGGGGTTGGAATTAGTTTTGGTTTTGGCCTCTGATTAACTTTAACTTCACTTGATTTAGAAAGAAAAACAGATTTTCCTTTAAATCTAAGAATGGAATGAATTAACCTAGGGAGCGCTGATCGTTTCAGCCCAGACAGGTTTAATGAAGATGAATTCTCTGTTGATATCACATCATGTTTGAAGTTCCAGGTTCTCTCCAGGTAGCCTGGCTTCTTCCCACCATCCAAAAACATGTAATTTAGGTTAATAGGACACTCCGAAAAGTATTTCCCTATTAGTGAATGTGAGTGTGGTTGTTTGTCTCTGTGTGACCCTGCGATGGACAGGCAACCTGTCCAGGGTGTACCCCCCCCCCTCGCCCATAGTCAGCTGGGATATGCTTGCAGAAAGAGAGACAAACCAAAACACTCAACACTAGTTTCAAACACCATACATTTTAAATACGGTTTGTGCCAATTGGAATGTCATTTTGCTGTAGTCCCATAAAATGCAAAGCATATTGGCCGTGAAACATTCCTGTCTTCCTGTTCATTGGAGACAAGAGCAGGAAGAGGGTACAGCTAAACTGAGGGAATATAAACAGTAGCAGCAGGGGTAAAGTGGAGAAGAGGACTGAATGGAGATCTGCACAGAAGGGGGGAAGTCAGATGAGCAATATCAGCAACCTTAATCCCCAGTGGGGGCCGGTGGGGGTAACAGCGCAAATATAAACATGTTAGAGTGGAGCAGAGGAGATGCAAAGTAGGAAAAGAGTGAAAAGGAGGCAGAGAGTAAAGAAGAAAAAAAAATCATATTTTAGAATGCTTAAAATCACCAAAATATCATAAAGCCATGGCCTACAACAGTAGTTCAACAGGTTTCTGTTGATTTAGTTGATGTTAGGTACACAATAGAGCCTCTGATCAGTGGATGGTATTTTGAAGATGTGGGGTTATTAGATTCAGGAATAAAAAACAGGTTTTGCTGAAAGAATGTGGGGTAGTTGCTATTTACATTCATCCTGATGCAAATTAAACTTCAAGCAAACAAACATCACAACTGATTTGCTTAGATTTCACCCACAAGCCAACATCCGGATTAAAAAAATTATATATAAATTTTAAAAAGCTCAAAAGGACATCCATTCCTGTTTTTTGATATGTCATTTACAGCCTTTTTAATGAACTTATCACCAGATGAAAAGGAAAAACTGATGTTTTTTCTTTTTTTAAATTATGAATTAACTTAAATTTTGTGCATTAACAATCAATTAATATTCAATTAATAATCAGTTTAATCATATGTGGGCTTATTAAAATCTTTATGTGGAAAGCACATATTTATATTTAATATAAACACAAATAGTGCTAAGAGAGTATGCCTGTCCCCAGTTTTACAGAAAATCTGTACTTTTTGTTTGTTTTCCACATGAATGTTTGTATAAATTACCTGCCTCTGTTGTTATCTGTATATGTTTTTTTCATTGTGTTACATCGTGTAGTTCTGTGTTAAGTCAGGAGGAATCAGGGAAAGTGGATTTGATGTAAAGGCTGAGACTGACACAAACATGAGGACACACCTAAACCTTCAATAACATTCAGCCAAACAGATATGGAAGCATGCATAATGCACGCACATGCACACTTGAATATTCCCTTTTACGCCAGCGTGTATTGTTTTCTTTCCACTCAATCCACTTTCATGTAGACAATGACTGGCACGACTGATTATTTTAAAGTTTGCACTCTGTGCTGTCAGAGAAAGCTACTGACAAATTAAAGCAAATCTTGTGAGTGCTGTGTGTGCATTGATGTAGAAACAAAGCTGATAGAAGTTTATTCTATCCATTGTATGGTACTTTAAACTAGCTTCTCAGTTTCACCAGCAGCTAAGTGTCAGATACAGTGTTTTGTGGCCCACTTACATGAAAGAACAAGTCAAGTGTCAGCTCCACTTAACATATCATCATATTTTTGGGCCTCCTCAGACAGTACTACCCTGATCCACATCCGGTCCATGGGCTGCAGCTGATGAGGGTAGGGAAGCTGCAGCACCACCTGGAACACATTAGCCATGCTTTGGACACATTCACACAGGTAAGACAGGGTTTGGCACATCTAACACAAATATTCTATCTTGGTTTTCAGCTGTAACAGAAGTTAGAGCTAAGTTTGGTTATTCCTTTTTTCTCAGGCTTTCAAAATCCTAAAGCTCACTCACGGTGAAGATCATCCCTTAACTGATGACCTCAGAATGAAGATGGAGGAATGCCAGAGTGAGATGGAGCATCATCAAGCAGCTGCTAAGATGCACATATAAGACACTTCTATATGGAGCAAATGAAAGGAGAAGAAGTATACAGAATTTTACATGCCTATTGTTTGGATCTCTGTCATTAAAATAGAACATCCATCCATTTATCCATCCATCCATTTTCTGAACCGCTTATTAAGTGGGGTCATGGGGGGACTGGAGCCTAACCCAGTAGTCAATGGACCACACAGAGACACACAAAGATGAACAGCCACGCACACTCACTCACTCCTAAGGGCAATTTGGAATGTCCAATCAACCTAACAGGTTTTTAAACAGTTAGGCCTAAACATGGCTAGAAACAATTTTAGCTGTTTATTGTAGTTTTCCATTACAAGCTTCAAAATAAATGTAGCTTAACATGCAGACTGCTTTAATTACAATGTAATCACATCTAAATTGGAAAAGGGCCTTAAGAAGTACATTTGTTTATTACATTTAATCCTGTTTTTGAGGCACTTTCTTCTGCAGCTTTGGAGGAAACAGTTCTGGAGGAAACGGTTCTGGAGGTACTAACAGAGGCTTTTATCAGTGACAGAAAACACGACTGCAAGTGAGACAGGACATTTTCAGGATGCAGGAGGAAAGCAAACCGAGAGCAAAAATAAAAGCACAATGGTAGGCATTGTGACTTATAACATCCAGGCAGTCCTCGGATGTTAGAAGTAGCAGAATCTCTGGACAGCAAAGAAAACCCAGAGAAGAACTGTCTGCAGGAGGGAGACATGTCACTGCCTAAGTCCACCACTACAGACCTCGAGGAGGTAAATACAGAGGGTTCACCATCAGGTGTAAATTACCTGTTCTACAATGAAAGTCTGTATTTTTGCTAAAATGGAAAAGAAAGTATCTTAAAGCCAGATTCAGACTTGGCAGAAGCTGTGTGGCTGTAGAAGCCACACTCAGCCGTCCACACAGCTTTAATTCTGTCCCCCACACACACCCTGATGAGCAGATAAGGGGCAGCGTGAGGTTCAGGTTATCTCCCCCAAGGACATTTTTATCTGAACTGTTGTGAGCTGAAGAAGTCAGACGACAAACACTGACCTCTGACTGACAGCACAAAAGCCACTCCTGAGGTTTTGGGTGGTAGGAAGCACAATGGCTGAGTCAGCTGCATGACATCAATCTGGAGGAGCTGCGTTTCAAGATTTGAATAGAAAACTAAAGATGGGGGCACCCACAAACACCACCCAAAGACAGCTGCCGTAGGAGTGGAGTGGAGCACCAAAAAGAGGAAGGTCCATTCTGTGGTGATGTCCTTGGGTTTCTGTCACTCTGTAACCGATTCAAAGATTTCAAAATGAGTATTTTCTGTATGGTCATGAAAAAGTCTTTAATTATAACAGAGAAAAACGGCCTCTACTTATAAAAGAGTAGTAACTTGTGAACACATCCTCTCACTTAAGATGAGAATATCCTTAATCAAAGCCAGAAGGTAAAACTCTCAGCACATAACTTTCCCTACAAATTAGTTTTCACCTCAATGATCTTTTTCATTACCAATTATATTTACTGTTGAGGCTGGATTGGAAAATACGACTGACACGGGGGCAGTTTGGTATTAACTGACTTCATAAAATCTATTCCTGGAGCAAAACATCAGAAAAATAGTCTGGAGTGTTCCCCTCAAAAACAAAACAAACAAACAAAAAAACATATTTTCCCCCAATCTCATATATTTTTCAATGCAGTGATGGTAAAATCAGTCAGTAAACTTACATTTTCAGAATAGTTTAGTCAGCAAATTCCTCATTAATCACATTGGTTTATGTTTAGCACACATTCATAGCAAACAGTTAGTCCTTGTTGAATATCAGAGGTGTATTTATGTACCCAGGAAGGACTCACTCAGTTGCTGTGGAGGGGCTAAGGATGCCCCAGAGCCAGCTTTACCCTAACACACCTACAGATATACACAATATTTAAGCCTTAAGTGTGTGATGGCAGCTTGTCTCCGCACATTTGCATTGTGACTGATACTTCTGCTGTTTCCCCCTTTCTGTGTGTGAGTGAGAGCGGGAGGGAGGGGCCGGCCCCTGTGGGCTCCTGCTCCTATGCAATCTGTAGATTCTATCTTGTGGAGTGATGTAAGGGCCATGCCATGTGGGTCTTGTGCGTGTGTGCGTGCACACTTCTGTTTGTGTTGGTTTAAGACAGCCTGATATTCAAAACATCCATCATCCCCTGTGTATATCCGTCACACACGCTTCCCTTCTTAATCTCCTTATTTGTGCATTGCACTGTCCAGAGTGTCTGGGATTGAATTGGCTCCTCACACACTCGCTGACACTTCCCATGTTAGTCACAAAAGTTTGTCATTTAGAGATGGATGGCAGCATTCCATGTGAGAAAACCCTGAACCTCTGTGTGTGTGCGTGCGTGTGTGTGTGTGTGTGTGTGTATTAAGGTAATCTTTCCTGCTGTTAACTGTTTTTTTTGTTCAGATACTTTCAACAATGAAACAAGCATTTGCAAAAATATGTTGTCTTCTGTATTTATTGATAATGGGTATATAATTATTATAAGATTAATAGCATCAGCATCAAGTTACTTTCGCATTTCTTTTCCCATTGATTAATCTATCATCTTTAAAAGTACTAAAGAACATTTTGGAACTGAATTGTTTGAGTCAGTCTCTTCCTGTGGCTGTTACTCACCGTGTGGCTCTGCAGTGTTCGGTCCCTCACCCTCTGCCTCGCTCATCTGTCCCCTAACAATATCTATCAAATGAGATTTACCAGCACCTAATCATAATTATCTGTCATTACTGCCCGTCACCCACCTTTTTTATGTCCACATTTCCATCTCTCACTTCCCCAATGCCCTTGTATTAAGATCTCAATTAATTGACCTCACATTTCTCTTTCACTGAGTGTCTTTGTAGGCAGATATCAATTTAGGAAAAAAAGAGCATCCAGTGCTCTTCATTCACCTCCGTTCACTCACCTATAAGCCACTGACTCATCCCGTTTTTCATTTTGGCCAGTTTCACTCACTCCTCCTGCTGTACCAGCTCACCATTACAATCACATAACGCTTTTTCCTGTCGTATCTCCCGTTCATCTTTTTACGTCTTACGTACAATTAGATGCAACACTCAGAGATTGATTTCCAAACAAAAAGGCTTTCCATTGCAGTTTCTGGAATTTAACAAGGGAGAACATCTGCTGGTCTTTGGTACCTCAACATATTTGCAGGTTGTGTTTTTTTTAACTGAAAGTTGATAATTGACTAGTTGACTGTATCACTTTCACATGCTTAGACTTGTCAGCTGACTTCACCAAATGTTTGAACTTATAGTATTATGATGATCGGACATATTTCTGAGGAAGACGCATGTTAAACATCAAGACAACAAAGTGAGAAATCCCTGTACAGAAAATGCAGGCGAAGCCTCCCTGAATCTGAATAGAACAGCACTCTGCTTTAGTTTTCTCGTGTGCTGCTACAAATGTTTTGCTTAAAATTTAAGATGGTCTCTAAAACTCTCCGTGGAAATGAAAGCCCACTAGCCTGAGGTATGCCTATGTTTAGATCAAACAGAAAACACAATGACTGCTTAATGCTTGTTAAAAGTCACTTGGAGGAGATGTCCTTCTCTACAATCTCCTAATGGACGAATTACCAGGATTCTAAATGGTCACCTGAATTTACTCGTTTTATTTTGAACACACCTGCTCATTAGGTTTTACCTCGGATCCCTGTATTCTTCTTCTACTGTAATTCCCTCTGCTGTTGCCTTCTGTGCATTAATGACCAAAATCTCAACAGGGCAACTCATCACCGAGAAAGCTGCCTGCAGGCAAGTGAAGGTCCACACGCACACACAGTCACAAACAAAGTCTTACTGAGCTGTCGATTTTTTTCATCAGCATATAAATCCATCTTTTCTATCATGTCTTAATGTTCTATTCCTCTTGTGTTTGAGTCACACTTTAAAATGTGCATAATTCATCAGGCTTGAGACAGACCCCACAACAGACGTTAGATCCATGTGGAGACCACAAAAAAGAATCGGATGTGGCATTTGTTCAATACATTCCTTTATTTACATCCCACCGTCGTACTTTTCCATCAACACAATTAGTCAGACCACATTTCAGGTCTTCAGAGGACATGACGGTCCTCAATCACAGAGACAACACAGATGCAGTTGGAATATTGTGCGTCACATTCTCTTGCATGACAGTTATTTGTCAGATCTTTCTCTGAAGAACAGAAGTCCTCTTGCTAATTTGTTTTTGGTAAAAGTGGTCTGACTTAGACTGCAACAACAGTAATCCTTAAAACCCTTAAGATGCTATGTGTCAGATTTTCAGATAACACATTATAATTCCTACATGATCCTGATAAACAAGTAACAAATGTCAGTTAGTTTGTGGGACTATTTGTCTTTTGCCTTACAAACTTCCATCATTGGTATTTGATGAGTAATTTATGAGACAAAAACATGGTTTAGATTAACTTCTTTTAGCTTTAAATAATAACAACACTAAACTTCAGAGCATTTACTTAGTTTTTTTATTCTAAACCGCGAACACAGTAGGGCTGGCAGTGACATATTAGAAAAGGAAACCTCCCACATAGCATCTTAACATGGAACCTGGAACAAGCTTTCTGCTCATCCAGAGGTTTGGGTTCCCAAAAACATCCAACTGTAATTACACAAGGCTGAAGAGTCGCACAGGCATTTTATATAAAGACACAAACATGTTCACACAAGAAGTGGACCATAATTTGAAAACACATTCCTTTCATTCCAATTGTCCGACAAATACATGTTTTATCTTTAATTCATTTTAATATTTTGCATATACCACCTTGTTAAATTTGAAATTAAGCAGACAAGATCTAATTAAAGTGTGAAATGATGGGTATGGGTTACACAACTATAACTTAATAAATATATATATGTATATTCTGCTGTTAAAAAGTGTTCTGGGGTTTTACTTGAACCATCTATATTTATGTCCATGAAGATATCTCTTCATTGTAAACTTTTTCTCAATGAGTTTCAACTGACAATTTACTGTATCTTGCCATGTAAGTGCCTCTCCAAATCGTTTTCAATTACTTTTCAGCTTGAGAAAATGTAGAAACTATGGTGAGGGAAACACTCTCATTTATGACCATTGTACTGCACAATTACAAGTATACAAGTCTCTTATCTTAAAGCAATATTTGTTAAACCTCTTGAATAGATCTAAAAATCTTTGATTTAGTACAAAACCATCATGGTGGCATACAACAGCGGAACCTAAAAAAAACACATTTGGTTCTCATACATTTGGACCTAACTGTAACTTTCAATACTGTGAATGTTTTCGGAAACCCAAACTCAATAATATCCCCAAGAGGAACAACAGGAGCCAATTATATAAATCCAAATGAATATATAAAAGAAAGAGCGCATATATGATATGTGCACACAGTATATATTTGTACATGAGACATGAGCTTGTTAAAGTATGTACAGAAACATTTCTTAAATGCATAGAAGCCTTTGAAGATCAGAACGAGTAGGTATAAAAGAAAAATTCTCCAGTCTCTTGCTGTGAAATAAATAAACTTTCATTCAGGACTTGATGAACTGGGAAGTTAGAGCACAACACAAGGCTGCTTTGCCAGCTGATGGTGAAAAACTTGAAAAACGTTATGGGTTCAGTTTGCCAAAAGCATTTAATTTCCTACCTGATGAGCTCCTGCAGGTTTGCAGCAAAACAAACTAATGGCTGTTTCCTGTCTCTACAGCTTTGCTTCAGCAGAAATTCATTTAGCATTATGCTTTTGATTAACATTATCAATCTTATCAATAACAGCATTTCCAGTACTGAAGTCAGCTGATTCCTCTTTTAACCTCAGGGGAGGATCATGAGGATCTCAGTGTCTCTACTTGCAGGCAAACCGTACCGAAGAGAGAAGGTGATGTTGAGTAATGTAGAAGAAGCATTTGAAGGGTACTTTTTTCTATTTTAGTGGGGAACAAACTCTTTTTTTATATTTATATTTGTACAAACATTTAGATCATAAACATCTCAAGCACCATTGATAATAAGATTAACAAATTCAATTGTAATTATCCATCCAAAATAAATGGAATCAGGCAGAGAGCTATGTAATTCATTTAGGTTGCTACCATTCGTTTTCTGAGTGTTCCTCTATTGCTTTATGCTTCTGTTTCTCTCCTTTACATTAAAACACTGAAACTATTTAATCACAATTATTTTTCCTTTAATGCAGGACTTAGAATTTATCACTTTGTTGTATATTACAAAGATTTGACTCAATCTGTTTATCAAAATTGGTTTTGTAATATCTCCTTAAACCTATTTCCATCATCCTGCTCTCATACATAGTCTCTACATGATCCCATTGCACTCAAATAAAAAACAATCTTATTAAAAAACACATACATTGACAAATCATTCAGTTTCTTTTAGAGTAGAGCAGAACAACACAGATACAAATAACAGACAGTCTGCCTGTCAGTCAGCATGGCTGTATTCAACACTGGAACAGAGAGAAACCTTTTCACCACCACTCCTTTGTGATGGATATTTCATTATTTCATGAACATGAAAAACCCATTACAACAGTATAAAGGACAATATACCATATGGATACCCCAGAGGGACAAACTTCAGGCAGATGTGTTTAAATTGTATGTTGGTATCACCCTTTACCTCCACCTTTGCTTTTTTTTAAACATTTGCATGGGTTTTATGAAGTTTCTCTGATCTGTCATGAATGTGCCAAATACCATACACTGAAACAGAGTTAGTTTTTTTTTTCTATCATACTTTGAAACACCGACCCACAATTAAACATCACATTAAGAAATGACTATAAATGAAGCAGTTTTATTAGGACACTGATTTTTGTGAAGGAATTTCTATGCTAGCACCATACTTACTGCATGTTCACAAAATCAGAGCAAAAGAGAATTGGTATTGTCTTGGAATTGTTAGAAATGTTCACAAGGCACTTATCTAAATCATGTCCTCCTGTTCTTCTCTGGGTTGTTGCTGCACAACAATACCATGTCATTCTGCAATCAGCTCTCTATTTACAGCTGGAACTCTACAAAGTGCTCTTCCAAATACTGTGGAGAATTGTTTGTTCATCACGTAATCCTCTTTCTTATGTTGTCTAAAGATTTGAGTTTTTTCAGTTCACACACTTTTCCTTGTTGTACATTCTTAAAATATTCAATTCAGTCTGCAGTCCATGTCTGGAGTCCAACTCTTTGTCCTCTGGTCACTTGACTTGATGTTGCTTTTTGCTTTTTGCCATCAGTCTGCCTCTGTGAGCAGTCATATATCATTTATTTGATTTGGCGGGGGCTATTAGATGCTATTCAATGTGCTACTGAAGCCTCCAAGCGCCGACACGCCAAGCTTATTTCTTTGCTTGCTAGCTATCTGTCTATCTCCGCTTTGCTTATCCAACCATCTGTCCTTCAGTCTACTTAAATCTGGGGGAGATGTATGTATAAAACACATGACCAGACAGTTAGTCCTTGAGTCCAAGCTTCCAGTTCTCCAGTGACATTTAGTTGTTGAAGATAGATTTTCTTACACAGTTAATGTGTTTGGTTACCTGGTGCAAAGGTCTACACTCTTTCTAAACACTAATTAAGCCCAGCGGTGTGTCTACTTATCTGTCCTTCAGCTCTCCATCCCTCCATCTATCGATGTCTTGAAGACACATCAAAGCAGGTAATCATCATAAGATGGGCTTTGCAGAAGTTGACTCTGTTTTCCAATTTGTCTGTCACGGTTTCCAAAGCATGTAAATATTCCACAGAGTCCACTTCATAGGGCTGCTGTAGTTCGACTGGACGTGGAGGGAAAGATTGAGGAAAATATGACATCATAAGTTGTGTGAACTTTCAAACAAGTCAAGTCAGAGAACAAAAATGATGATATTTAATACTTTTCAGTCCCCAAAATGCCCGGGCCAAGTTTTAGTAACCTATTCATCAAGAAAACCTAATTAAAAATGTAAAGTTCAAAATCACAAACAACTCTGCAAACTATTTATCTGAGCATAGGAAATGAAACATGTATATTATTAAGTATGATCATGCTAGAATTATCATTGCATAGAAATGTTATTTTAGTTTTTCAACAGGATCATTGCTCAGCTTCTAGACTATTTAAATGACATGACACTGTTCTGTCATCTCTTACTGTTTACAATGTACAGATATCTCAAGCTGTCTTTTTTTTTAATGAAAAGGAGGTTAAAAATAAATGCAGATGTAGGCAGCACATATGCCCGGGCTGCTCAGCAGGCTGAGCATATGTAACGCTGCATTGTGGTTGATAGCCTCACGCATAATTACAGGCTTTGTATCAAGCACATTGATTGGTTGTGGGCTTGCATTGGAATATTTGTCAACCCATGTAAAGAAAAATAGAGCAATAGCAAATTAGAGGCTGACAATGGAATTAGAAAAACGTGCATGATAAGTTACGGGGTTGGTGCATTTATTTCCAATAAATCATCACCTAAAAATCTTTCTATGGCCAGTCACTTATCTTCCTCCTTCACATGAACACACATTCCCTGATGTGCAACACTTACACTCAGTGGTCCATTTGTGCGGCTCCAGCATCAAGTACTGCTTGGTTTGCTCCAGTTCTTTCTTCAGACACTGGTACTTGGCTCTGACTTCACTGATCCGCTGCTGGCGATGCTCCAACAGGCGAAGCTTGGCACTGACGTACACCACCTCCTGATAGGCATAAACAGAGGACCCACGGTCAGAAATGGATTTTATTTGTCTTAACACATCCAGAGGAGTGAGCGGCTCTCTTTCTGCAGCAGCATGCTTAACATTCACACACATTCACACCTCATCGCCTCCCAGTGAGACCACAGTGGGGTATTTGGGACACAGTACAGCTTCACTGGAGCAGTTGGGGGTTAAGTGGCTTTCTTAAGGCCTCTGCAGGGAAAATCTATATTTCATGCTTTTCTCTCCCTCTTTCCCAAAGCCCACAATGCTATCTGCTTTGAATACACAAGGGTTTAACAAAGGAAACCTGGAATATCAGCACCATGCATTAATTTGCAATAATTTCATTAGTTGAAGTCGGTTCTTCAGAATCTTTGGAATTTATAATTATCTGTAAATGAAACTTAAAAAGTAAGATAGGGAGGATTGCTCATTGTTCATACAGAATGGAAGCCTAATGTTTATTAATTCATCTTGAGAGAATCCTTTATATTGTTTTTTTTTTAATGAGTGGGGTTTCATTGACACATCAGTGGAGGTCCTTTGTCTTTTATTATCTCAGACTTCTTCCTCTGGTTATCCATCACTAGAGCAGTAAGTCCTTTTTTGTGTGCCCCACAACTATGATTCATCTTATCGATTTTATTGACATCAAGTGCAGTGGCTCTGCCCCCTCTTTCTTTTACTCTTTGCTCACACAGCCATCCTTAACTGTAGAACCAAAACCCCAGCCACAATTAATAGCTGACATAGCAGACCTGCAGAAGCTGTGGAGCTCAACTGTGCCTGTCTCATGCCACCACTATACTCCCTCTCACACGCCACACTGTTCATCTCACCTTGCCGCCTGCTTTATCCCTCCTCTTCTGTAGTCGCTCCACATCATCGATCTCATACACCTTAATCTCAAAAGTTTCTGTTGCAGCAATTGTGCCCCGTAGGTTTGAGGGTGCAGGAGGCCCCAGAGGGCCATCAACCCAGCATGCACCTGGGCTGGAGGAGGAAGAGGATGAGGAAGTGATGGCCTGTTTAGAGGACCGCTGCGAGGGTGATGACGAAGAGGAATCCAAGGTCAGAGCTGGTATCAAACGCCGGCGCTGGAGGCCTGAAAAATAATGACAAAAAGACTGTTACCCACTGAAATGTCTGTTTTATCCTTTAATTTATTGTGTTTTCCCCACTGAGCAACACTTAATTTGAGGTTATATCAAAAGTTAGTGAGTAGTTCTCCATGGAGTCACAAACATTGTTCGTGGTGCTCTATAACGTTGCAAATAAACTGATCAAATAGACTGTTTTAATACTGAAAAGTACGGTTTACAATGCAAAATACCTTTGTGTGGCTCATCTTTAATTAATTTGGCTTAATTTACAAGTATTGAAATCAGCTGTGGAATAATTGCTCTAATATAAAAACTAGAGATTTCTTTATCAAATATATCAATGTTTTTAATTTTTAATTTTCCTGTGCTCTAATCTGTAATCTACTGTAAGACATTGACATAGTGAGCAATGGGGATATTTTGTTAGTGTGCCGTGTTCAATCCTATCCATGGATTACATTAGATAAGATACATATTTTTCATTCCATAATAGCCATGGCAAATATCTATGTAGAAGAACAAAGGAGAAATTATTGCTTAGAAATACACTACACATCAGAACTAGATTAGTATTTATTGAACTGAGTTTAGTGTTTTCTTTAGCTTTGGCACACATCTGTATTTTTATACTGCAGCTTTCCTTTAAACAACATTGATGCGCTGAAGTACTGGTGATCATGAAAAAGTTTATATCATTGAAATGCACAAAATTCTAAAAAGGTAAAGGCACAGCTACCAAGAAGATACGGTGCAATTAGCTGTCTTTATGTCTAACATAGATAATTTACCACTGCCTCTGCAACAAGATTAACATATTTTCTACGAACACACTAATCTCAAGTAGGAGATTTTAACAAAGGCAGAATATCCCTCCTTGAGCAACATGCACAAAAAAAAGATTGAGGAATTAGTTGAGAGAGGTCAGCTGCATATTCCAAAAAGGGGGAAGGAAACAAGAATGAGGTGATGGCATGTGGAATGAGATAAAAATGGTAAAACTAATAGATAGAGGGTAGGAGGTCAATCTATAATCTGCACTACAGCCTTGGCACTGCAGTGAACACACCCACGTTCCTACAGCTCGCTCCCATGCAGTTTGCACAGACACAGACAGCCCTGTCGTCAGAAAATGAGAGATAAAGTGAGTGAGAAAGGAGAAAGTGTTGATTTTAATAAGGTTGCAGCTGTCTTGGTCTCAGTGCAGCACAAAAAGGTCAAGCAGAGACATTTGTATTTCATTAGGATACAGCGTATAGCTGGACAGAAACGGCTGAGTCTCTGCAGGGAAGAGACGAAGAAAGAGCTGAAAATTTGTCTCCGATCTAATGGAAATCAGGCACAAAGGCAGACTCAGCCTGAGATGTGACTGACATCATGGTTGGACATTGCTTTAGTCCGTCTGTTATCTGGCTGTTTACCATACATTGAAACATTTTAAATCGTCCTTTGGTTAAATTCTTCACATCCACATGCACCAAATGCCGAATATCCCTTCATGTCTCTGTGTCAAACTGGAACAGTTTGTCAACACTCTGGGTCTTTGATCCACATAATCTGTTGTGGTTAAAGCAAAATGACAGTAAATCCAGATTTTATGCCCCATGGCTGCAAGGTGAGACGGCATGCACTTGGATGAAAAGGCTAATTCCTGTTTAAATTCATAATCGGGGAAAATCAAGCAGGGCTGCTTCTTTCCAATCTGATTTTGTGCACATATCCATCCTCATACTTAACTGATAAAGAGTAATTTGGCAGGCACATCAGCATGCTCTCCATGATGTGTTCTGATGAATATATATTCATTACAGCATATACTGCCACATTCCCTTTTACCATTTCACAGATGGGTGGTCAGGGTCACCTTTCCTACCTGGCACCTCCTGCAGACGCAGCTTTCTTCCCCTTTCACTAGTTTGTTAGTCGCTTTCTCAATGTGTTTTCATCAGTGGATGAAAAATGTCTATGTCTTTCTTTGCATCAACTGAAACTGTGTCCATTTTAAGCTTTAGGAGTGCAGAAGGGAAAATGAATAATCTGTGCTTGGAGTCATGCTAGACTTAAAAAGGTCAGCATCAGTTCCACAAGTTAGTCAAAAATAAAAATAATACGAATAAATTGAATAGATATGCTAATCTTTGCATTTGGCAGTGTGATTTTCTTCTTAATTATATTTAATTTACAATTAAGAAAGAGTGCAGCTCCTATTAATCTATTGAGTCTGTGTGGATGTGGATGTGAGGTCATGAGTTTACTGTGGAGTTTTTTATTATGCTAGTAGCTCCATTAATCTAAATTAAGTAACGACAGCCCAAGTGAATTAGCTAAACCACAGCTTTACAGTTCTTTCTGGAGAAAAATCTCCTATAATAGATATATGTGACCTGTGCTGCTCCTGCTCTTCTTGCTGCTCTTGGAACTCCGTCGGGAGGAGGTGGTGGCTGAGCTGTGCTCACTGAGGGAGTCCTGTGCGGACGAGGTGCTTCCTGTGTTCTCACTGCTGTCTCTTAGCATGCTCTCGTAGCCACTGCTGCCTCCACTGTGATAAAACAAAGCCGTCTTCCCCATGGCCGGGGGCAGCTCACCACTCAGTACACTGCTGTTGGAGGCAAAAGGACATCGGTTGAAGTTGAAATCTGAACAACTTTAAGAGGATTAGAATCATTTTTGGAAAAACTGCATTTCCCACTTCTTTGGGCACTTGAGCTCACACCTGTTGTCACTTGCGTGGCCGCTGCTGCAGCGATGAGGCTTTCTTGGAGCTGTGATCTTGCTGTAGGGAGAAGGGAGGGTTTGGACCACGGCTGCTCTTTCCTCTCCCGGGGTTTCTACCCCTGCTCCACCTCCACTGAAAGCAAAACAATGAGATGACCCCAGAAGCATAAAAGAATGTCAATTCTGATTAAACGTTTGTCTGAATACATTCTAATAACATTTTGTGCTTTTTTATATCTGATTCTGAGTATTTAGTACATAATTAATTAACATAATCCTTGATGCTATTTTTAAGTAACAAATTAAATATTAACTGAAAATTGTTTTTGGACCAACCTTGCCCCAGCGCCTCCTCTTTCTTCTACTGGCTCTGAGCCTCCTCCCTGCACGTGGTTCCTGGAACGCAAGCCTGTGCTTCCCTGGAGGAGCTCTGAGATTCTGCTGTTGACAGCCCGTAGGGGCAGCTTTGCTGTTAAGCTTCCTCCTCGACTCCGGCTCAAAGACTGGGTAGACCAGGATCCAGGAGCTGGTGCCTGTTGCTGCAGAGGGGCCTGGACCGAACTCTGAGGCTGTGGAGGCATGTAAATGGTTTAGGTGGGAGATACAGGATGAAGACGAGCTCCTTTATCACTTAAGGTGGATTTTATTTTACCTTTCCATTAGGAGGAAGGCTGGAGCTGCGGCTGGCAGTTTGACTTAAAGACTTGGTGGAAAAGCTCAGGGTCTTGGTGCTGGAAGCAGACAGACTCCTGGACTTGGGACTGCTAGTCATCAGCAGTTTACTGACTGCTGAGATCTTTGACTGGCTGCTGGTCTTGGCTGGTGACTGTGGAGTGCTGCTTGGACTGGTACTACCACTATAGCTTGGGCTACTGGGGTTTCCAGTAGGAGAAGATACAGATGCAGTACGGGTGATGCTGCGTCCAGTGCGGGGCATGGTGCTATCTCCTCTCACCCCTCCTCCCCCTCTAAGGCTCTCGCCTCTCTCCAGGGAGAAGCAGTCATAGTGGTGGGAACTACTACCGTGTGAGCCGTGGACCCGGCCTAGAGAGTTTGTTCGGTTAGCGAGCTGTTCGAGCTTGGCGCTGAAAAGTCTGCTGCTGTCTATGCTGGAGCCACGCTGTCTGCTGGTTCCTGTCGGACAACATCCAGGTGTCCCTGAATCATCTACTGAGCTGCCCTGGGGCGAGATCCCATGGCTGGGTAGGTGGAGTGGACTGGCTGCCCTGTTTCGCTGGTCTAGGCTTGACTTTCGAACTGGTGGCAGAGGTGGAATTCCCCCCTTCTTGTGGGAGAAAAAGCCCTGTTTTCCATTTGATCCCCAGCGGTCGAGTGTTGCACGGGGGCTGCAGGGAGTTGAAGTGGTCACGCCTAGATTGCAATATTCCATTCCACTTTCTAAGCCATCATGCCGGTTGATGCGGCTCCAGCCACGGGGAAGACTCGCTGTGCGGTGGATATCTGGACTGTACATGCTCGTCAGACATTCACCTTGAGAAACAATGGCGACCATCTCACACCCATCCACCACTCTCTTAAAGGAGTCTGGAGATGACACCACTTCCCCACCTGAGCCAGAGCTGTTATGATCTGCACCTGAAGGATTAACAAAATAAGAAATAAGAAAAAAACATTTATTTAATTTTGAGTAAATATCTTATTGTTCTTACCATCCCTGAAGAAGTTCTGAAGATCCCTACTTCCACCTCCAGCTTTGTCTCCTAAATGGCTTTTTAAAGGTTCTCCTTCCCTCTTTTCTGGCTTCACTTCACACACAAGCTCCCTGGCCCTTCCCTCCTCCATGCCACGTTTCAACCAGGGGTCATCAAAGCTCATTTCACTGGATATAGAGGCTAAAACTGCTGCATTGGATTTGGCCTGGTCTTTTGTTATGATGGTCTTCGTGGGTGAAGAGAGAATGGTGGGCTCCTGTATAACCATTGGTTTGACTGCCAGACATGGGTTAAAGTTGACGGTACTTTTGAAAGGGGAGTGGTTACCTGGCCCTGTCAGAATTTGGATGTTAGTTTTAGCCATGGAGGGAGGCAGTTTTTTCAGCTTGTCTTTGGTTGGAGTATCCTTATCTGATGAGTTCTCAGACAGCACCAGCTCTCCTTCAAGGCTTCCTCTTCTTGGACTCTCGCTCTGGCTGGGGTAAGGGTCAGCCAGTGCTTCCCCTTGCTGACTCTGGGACTGGCTGAAGCTGTGGAGGGACTGGTCAGCGTCACTGGCCATGCTCAAGTCGCTCATCCACGAGGATATGGAGGAACCACAGTTAGACATCCCTGTGGCTAAGGCTTCTCCGTCCATTCGCAACTTGGCCATTGCCTCCTGTTGCAAAGGGAAATGCTATCAAGTATCAGAAATACAAGAGGCAACAATACAAGTTGTCTGTTTACTTTCCACAGTTTTCCTATTTAAACGTACAAGTCCCCTTCAAGTTATAATTATCTGAACAAGACAGCTGCACTAACCTCTGCCATGGCAACCACCTCTGAAGTCGCTGCACAACCTGGAGATGTTTTATAACCCTCCACAGCTCCATCCAAAACAGCATGACTGACAATACTGACGGGTTGACAGAGTGAGGCGGGGGCAGCTTCAGAGCCACAGTCGCTTTTAAAGCTCATGATGCTAGTTGGACGGCAGGCCAAACTCTGATCCTCCATGAGAGCTCCAATATCCTCCTCACGTTGAGAGGCCACAGTATATACCAACTCATCCTCCCCAAGCACGAAAGGTCCAACTGCTCCTAGTGTTACTGTAGGTCCAGAGGCTGCAGGCAGGTTAAATTTGGTCACTGTCCAAATGTGAAAAATATTTGTCATTAGGTTTGATTAATCAAAGCAGATTTTGCATTACCTTCCTTGAGTGTGTCTAAAGGTATCGGTGGGACGTCGTCGTCACAGAGCGTCTCAGCTGAGCCCAGGCTGGCAGACAGGGAGGGAGTTGGCTCTCGGACTTGTGGGCTCATGCCTACTGGAGAAGTCCTAGACAGCAGGGACTCTGTGGAGGAGCGACCACTGTCTGCAGCCAAACTGTCTGCAGAGTCAGAGGCACACACTTGGCATTGTAATGGATTTTGTTTTCCAAGAACAGAATAAAGGCATTCAATGGGCACTGAGTTTGAAAATTAAGCTGGTTTACAGCAAAAATTTGGCCCAAAAAAAAGAATGTGTGACGTCCTTGGTTATCAAATTAACATAACAGAACTTACATTAAACAATTTTCAGGGCGGAAAGACTGAAAAGATGCTTACTGTCTGAGGTCAGAGCATCTGTTGCCTGGCCATCCTGATTCAGAGTGTGTGAGGACAGAGGGGGCGTTGCTGGCATCACTCCCTTCTGAGTGTACACCTTACACCTCTGAGACGGGGAGGACGGAGGCCTGAGAACAAATAGATCACAAGATTTCTTATCATATCATAAAATATCAATGTCACTGAACATGCTTTCTACATTTTAGTGTTACTATAATGAAATGTTTGTAATATGTCCACATCATTGTTTAATATACCCTAATATACCGTGTATATGCATCTTTGTTACCTGTATTCAGATGTTTTGGTCAGGCTGGCGATGCCAAGTCGTGGCGACCCAACAGGGCGCCCCTTCATTTCAGTATTCCCAAGCAAATTCAGATTCTCATGGCTTTGCAGAGAGACATCAAAGCAGAAATATTGTCAGTTTAAAAAAAGGCTATTTTAAATTTGAATATAAAAACACTGAGCTTAAAAATGGAGTATCACCTGTCATGTAGGTGAGAGCTGTTGGCAATGTGCAGAGAGTTAGAGGTGATGCAGCTGCTTCCTGTGACACTCCTGGTATTAGTAACTATGGGGCATCCAGTTGCTTGCGCGAGGCTGTGGATCATTGTCTGGGCCAACTCTGCCTCCTCCACCACCTCCTTGATCTCCTGAAGTTGTTGGTCATTGCTTCTTGTCCTGTTGGCTACTGCTGAGAAGGAAAAGTTCACTGCACTGTTAACTCATACAAAGCATCCAGAGGCTTGACATGTTGGGCCCCAAAGTAGGTATTTGAAACCCTAGTATGGAATCAGTATTAAGTATCTGTGATTAAATGAAAAAAACAAATACATTTAATTACCTATTTTGGCTTCTGTATCCAATGCAGCAGCACACCCAGGAATAGAAACAGAGCTTGGAACAGATGAAGAAGGACATGACTCTTGTTTGGCACCTTGTTTGCTTGCTGGAACTTCCTCAAAGGGAAACTTTGCTACCTGCAGAAAGGGGAAGGTAACTTCTGAAAAACTATGCTGAAAATAATTTAGGTTACTATGTATGAAATTAAAGGAATTTAATAAAAAAAACTTTTTGAATTTAGAAATCCAAATTAACTTCTGGGTAAAAATAATTTTGGCTGCTGACGTAAATAACAAGGATTGAGATCCTATTCTGATATTACCATACCAATAAGGTAAACTGAAGAAGTCGAAATTATTGTGCCACTTTTGCAACACAACAGAAAGCATATACTTATTAAGGAAAGAAAATTTACATCACAAATAAAAGCTGTGACAGCAGGCAAAAGCTTACATGTAAAATATGTTAAGCAGGAACAACACACTTTTATATTTGAGCAGATAGGGCTCAAATTGTTAATGGGAAACTTCACCAACAAGTTAAAGTTTTTTATTTATTTATATTTTCTATGTTAATATTAAGACAAAATTATATTTCACCTCCTCACTGCCATCAATGCAGTCTAGTCTCTCCTGCAGCTCAGCAAAGGTGTTACACTTCAGACATTCAGCTCCCTCCTCTGGGACCGGGGCCAATGGCTGACCAAGTAGTGTCTGAGAAGACTGCGGCGGCGGCTGGGAGGGGGCAGTGGGCTGCTCTTCTGTCTGAGACTGAAACGGTTGGAGGAGAAATAATCGAGATGTAAGTCATGAGATGTTTCTTTGAGGTGAATGTTCCTCTGGGTGCAAACAATTTTCTGAATTCTGAATTGACTCAGATGACCTTGTTCTGAGCTCCAGCTGTCTGGTTCTGACTCTGTGTGTGATGCTGCTCCGATGTTTTTCCTCTGAGCAAAGCTGGAATAATCGGCACAAATTCTGGAGGTCCCTCATTGTCTGTCAGCTCTTTGTCCGACACCGCAGCCCCATTCGGGCCTACGTAGATCACTGTGTCACATGACTGCTCGCTGCTTGAGTATTCGTCGGGGTCACTGGACAGTCGCAGCAGCGGTAGCTCGGAGTCTGTGTCGCCGCGGTGATGGAAGGGTCGCAGATGAGTAGGGCGACGCATGCGACCCTCTTCGCAGGAGCTCTCCCCTCCAGAAGAGCTGGATGTATATTGCTGAGGGGAGATTGGTTGATTGTGAAAATGGAGACAGAGGTGAGGGAGAAGATTCCCTTTTAGATTTGCTCTATGATAATTTTGAGATTATCACAGGTCTTAAAAAACACAAACAAAAATAAGTTAGCCTGCCGATAAAGATAACAACATAAATGTGGCATCACTCAATCCATTAATTCCTATCAAGAAGTTTGCAGCATCTGAAAACTCCAGATTTCTCTTATTATAGATTTGAGGCAGCTACTTCACACTTCTCTGCTCTGCTGAACAGTTCTTAAAAGCGTGAGCACAAGAAGTGACAGGAGAGAAAGGAGAAGACTGATAAACTGCATACGGTTATAAAATCGACCCTGCCCATTCGTGTTGCATATCTGAAAGTGAAGTCGATTTAACTGTCATAAAAGATTTTCTGTCTCAAATCATGTTGTAGTCAATATCCAGATGATGAGGCGGAGGAGCGTGCAGGGATATGCATCATAAGACAGGCTCTTGGAATAACCGTCAAACAACTCAGTTAAGTGTAGATCTGTCGAAGGTATTTTGCCAGACCGCAGTTTTTTTCTTAAGCAGTTAATAATTCAGCCCTCTAAAGTTGAAGTTTTCTGATAATATTGGAGACCGTTATAAATAATCTCTAAATTAAAATGAAGCATCTCACTCACCACGCTGACTTTAGTTTTCTTCTTTTTCATGCGGAGGACGCGCGAAGCAATCTGAATGGTGGAAAGGGTTTCTGAGAAATCTCTGGGTGAGGCAGAGATGTGAGCAATCATGGTGGTCCGGCAGTTCATGTTGCCTAGCGACTCCCTTAGCAACATGGTCAGCTTGCTGTCCCTGGTTACACAGATACACCAAGATGTGAGCACTAAAGACAGGTTGAAAATGGATACAGCCGCTCAAGTAAGGGTAAAAAACAATTATCTTGTTCCTTATGCAAACATATATTGCATAATTCTATTAACAACCGTCCACTAAGCCACCTCCACAAGCTGATGAGAATTCAGATTTTAGCACAGTAGTAAAAAATGAGGGTACAGATAAAAGGTTCCTCACAAAGTCTTTAAAATAGGTACGCTGGATTATGTCTAATATTAGGAGATCATATGGTTCCCAGACAGATTTATATTCGTAGATAGGGAGTAAAACTAGGTTGTGTATTTAAGAAAAGTCTTTCTCCTGGGTGGGCTACTGCAATCATTCTTTGCCCATGTGTGTGTGACTGTGTGCTGAGGCCTGCAGGCTGACAGTGAGTATAGCTCCTCTGTGGCCGTTACCTCATGCTGTTGTCCCCTTTTTCTAAAAACATAGCCTGCAGTCTAGTTCGCCGCATTTATGTGTAGATTCACACACACACACACAAAATGTGCACACACTCTTTTCTCTTGACCTCCTCTTTTTCATCACTGCACTCTTACTCTGTTTTATTCTGCCTCAGGCTTCAACAAACTCTTTTTTTTCTCTCTCTCGTCACTCTCAAACACTGCATCTTTCCCTCATATTAATGTAGGTAAACCCATAACTCATTAAGTATTCATTTGGATGTTAATTAAAGCGCTGAGCATGTTGATTTAGATCTTAACTCTCAGCCTGAACTAGATTTATAGCCAGTTCTACCAGAGAGCACAGCTTTATATGCAAAATGATGTTTTCTCCATTCCTGAACTATCCTACATAAACGCTCCATCTGAAGTTAACTATTGTCACAGATAACGCATTTCTGGCAGAAAACAATTCCTGGAGTCATACTTCAGATATCAAACAAATAAAATCTGGTTAACCTGTTCATTTCTGGATTATGACTTTTGCACTGCTTATCCTGTGGGTGTTTTTACAAAACTATAAAGGATCCTGTTTATAAAAGTGACCCTGGACAGCTTTGTTTTATAGAATTTAAAAATAATAATTTAGAAGATAAATGGTTAAGATGTGAACCTTCATTTAGTCACAACACTACCACTTGGTTGGGCTATGCTTTGCCCTTAGACATGCCTCAATTTTCTTCAAATTCATACTCTACACTCTGAATCTTAGTGCAAAAATTGACAGTAAACAGATTTCTTCCCGCTCAATTTCCATCACCTAATTATGAATAGCTTGTGCACACCATATCCTCACTTTTAAAGCTAACAAGAGATGGATTTCCACCACTTTATCTGCTGCAATTTTTTCTGCTGTGCATTAACAGATGTTCTCTCTGTTTACTTTAGTTAAAGTATGAGTTACTACGGCCTTTCTATCAGCTTTGCCCATCTCTGCCATAATAAAGCTATTTTCAGTTAAAGAAGTGTGGCTTTTTCACATCATTCTCTGTAAACCTCAGAGATGGCGGAGAGTGAAAATCAATGCACAAACCAGGCTGTCTGGCACCAACAGCTTCACATACAAAAAAAAGAATCTATGAAATCACATTTTTCCCTCATTTTGATGCCTGCTTTGAACTTCACATGCCTAATGAAAGATGTGATGTGATTTGGTGATTATGCATATGCCTTCTTTACGAGTGACTGAATAGATAATTGAGGTGTCAGTAAAGTAAAGCATGACATTCTTAGCAACCTGAATGAAAAAGAACAATCAGAGTTCTTAGAATGAGCTTGAATTTGAACTGTTTTATATTTGCCATGTTCTCATAAGACTGAAAAGACCATAACCTTGGTTGTTTATGTTTCTTTGGGAGGCAGACAATCGTTGCATTAACTGTTTTGCATTACAATATCTTCTCTTGATTTTCAGCAAGACCTTTGACTTTGTTTCTTGTTTTTTGTTCTTGTTTGTTTTTATGGATTACCATTACATTTTAACAATGACTGAGAATTTGTTCTTGACAGTTACAACATTATCAGATGGTATTAGCTGGTTGGCATTACTTGGTTAGGACTTGAATATAAAACTCCTTATACAGTGGGGGAAAAAAATGTTGTGACATGTAACTGCTCCAGTTACATACACAGGCTACATCTACATACACAGGGTTATGTTCATCTTTATGGAACAATACCAATAAAAGCCCTAACATTTGTGAGTTGGTAGCTTTTGTTAACATTCCTTAATATTTGATTCTAAAATATAAATATTATGCTATCTTTTTTAGTGTTCAATATTAATAAAGCTTGACAAAATTAAACAATACTGGCATTCTTAAACTCCAGTGTACGGTTGACTTTACTGCAGAGGCACACTTTAAACAGTGCTTTTATTACTGGTTTCTTCTTAAAATGAAACAGCAGAAACACAGCATCAACTAATCTCCTCACCCTTTCACAACAGTCTGAATCACTAGACTCAAGCAAAGCTTCCCTCCTAATGTCAGTAGCAGGCTGTTTTGCAATGTAAATGCAAAAGCTGGAGATTAAATTAACCGGGAGAGAAGCACAGTCACACAGCCTTGAGGAGAGTGGAGGATATAGATGAAGGAGGGGGAGTGGAGAGGAGTTAGGTAAGCTAAAAAGGTAAAAGGAGGACCTTTACAGTTTGATGTACATACTCCCTCCGTAGACTAAACTGTAGAAATTCAGAAATTCCCCGCGGTATGCTTTTCTCAACTGATTAGCTCAAGCTGCAGTCTCTGTGTGTGTAATTTATCCCTGGCTCTCATTGCCAGTTGGTAAAATAACAAAAAATGAAAGCGTTGAATATGGAATAGCAGCTGTTGTTATTTAAAACATGAAGTCCTCCAAACCTGAAGCACCTAAAGAAATCTTCCGTCTGTCTCCCTTCCCCTTCACCTCAAGCTCGAAAACATCCTGCCCTCCTGCTCCATCCTCCCCTCACCACCTCATTCCCTTTTACCCGGTTGTTACATTTCTCACACCCATTATCCTCTTCAATTTCCGCTTCATGTTTTTCCACCTATACTTTAAGCATGCATCTCAGAACTCTCCTCCCACACAAGTATCAGCCTACTTGTATGGGATGTGCTTGCTCCCGTTGACCAGGGCCAGGATCACGTTGCCAAGGGCAGACAGAGACAGACAGAGAAAAGCTGAGCTGGGTGAGGAGTTCTCCCTGCTTTTCCCACCACCTCCTCCTCCTCCTCCTCCTCCTCCTCCTCCTCCAAGTGCTTTAACATCACAGCTGCCCAGGTCCAGCAGGTGGAGGCGACTGCGACCTCCTGACACTAGCAGATGTGAAAAATGGGTCACAAAAGGACATGAAAGAGAGGGCAGTGAGCATCAGTCCTGCAATTAAACTGAACAGAATTTTGTATGGTATATTCAAACAGCATTACAACTTTAATGTACCACTGTCAAACTGTTGACAGCAAAATTACACTGGGCCACATCCATCAATCGGTTTTCCATCTAATTAGTTCTAGAGAAATTCTCAAAGGTGAAAAGCAGCATTTCTCAGCAAGAAGGTTCCTGGTTCGTATCTCAGCTGAGGCCTTTCTGTGGGAAGTGTTCTTCTATTGTATGTGTGGGTTTTTTCAGGACACTGCAGCCTCCAGCAACGCTGACAATTTTCTACGAGGCGTGCGTATGCATGGTTGATTTTCTCTGTGCTGTCCCTTTGATGGACTGGTGACCTGTTGAAGGTCAAATGAATGAAATGCTTTCGAACATAAGCGATGGGGCCATTGTCTTTTGGTGTGAAATGAAGTTGTCCCTGTAATATTCCAATGCTCCATGAGGGCTATTAGGTGGACGTGTTAGCAGCCCTTTGCACCAGTTATTAAACACAATTCCTGTAAGACCTATAACACATATCATGCACACACACACACACTCACACACTCACACATACTTACACTGTTTCACTGACCGACTTAGGGTTTTAATCATCATCATCCACAGTTATGCATTCATGTTTTTGCTGCTGGAATTGTTGCTCTTCATATTGTCCTCAGTTTGTCTGCCTGTTGGCTCTCCTGCTGATTATTTGCCTTTATTGCCTCAGAGGCCAAAGTGTGTTTTATGTTAAGTTTCTCCACAGATGTAGAAGCTGGTTGTCTGGTTTTGGTTTTATGTGGTCGTACTTACACATTTATTGTTGTTGTCATCACGTTTATTTTCATTTCTCTTCACACTCTCCTTCCTTTCCTAACGTATAATTCTAATTCGAATTTGCCCTTGAGTGCTGAAGATTAATTTCCCCTAAAAAAAAAACTCAAACGGGAAGTGATTTATTAATGTGGATTACGTTTCTTCTTAAGGCTTAGTGAATGAAGCCTGATGTCTGCTGAATTTGAAATTGAAATTTGAAATTTGGCTTTCCATGTGATGCATCCATAAGAACAACAGGTGTTTCAGACCTTCTTTCTCACACAGTCACACAAAGAATGCATCATGTATGATTTGACAGGAACTCTTTTAAACACTAATATACACACATATAATTCACACATATCCAGGTATTATCCATTGATTTACTGTTGAAAGTTTTCTAGTGTAACACATTTTTGTCTTTGTTTTCCATGTGGTAAAGCGATAAAACCTAATTAGTGCTTATGCCTTTGTTATATGCCACTGTATTCATCAGGTCCATCAGGCTATTCATTTAGCAATTGTGATACGAGAAAAGCGCTCACGATGTCAATTATGCACCAACAGAAACAAAATCCTTATGTTACTTGGTTGTCGTAATATTTATGGGCTAATAACAATGAGGGTCAGTGGTTTGGATAAATATTACTTACTCCCTCCTTTGCCTGTCTTTTCCATGCGATACTGGTATATGTGTAATGTGAAGAGCATATGAGAATTCCGGTGTTCTTCCTCTGTGGTGTTTGGACGCTGGATGCTGTGGCGTGCTGCTATGGCTGCATCCAGGAACCAGGCTGCTTTTTCTGGGGTAGGAGCTCGCAGTTCAGACTGGTTTTGGAGCTACAAAGCATGCAGAAAGAAACATAAAGTGTGAGTGTTGCTTTTTTGTAAGCATGATAAGGAGGCAGGAGTGAATGGCCAGAGGGCAGTTGGCCAGAGTGGAAGAGAAGAACCACTTTGTCACATCACGAAAGACTAAGTCTTACTCAAAAATATGCTTAAACCCTGATAATGTTGTTTACTATGAGGATTCAGCGTGGAGGTAAGGGACTGAATATTATAATGAGACATTTCCACTTCATCTGTAGGTATTTGAAAAGTAGGAAGAAGGAAGCAGAAATCAGTAGCAAAAAGAGTGTTTGTATGTTCTGTCTTCTATCTGTGATGCTGCAGGATATCATTACTGATGCGATTATGTCAGATTAGTTAAGGATTACACAGATGTGTTAGTATCAGACACTTTAATCCCATAAACAAATGACAGAACACACAGTTAGACCGGCCCACCCACTGCTGCTCTGTTGTTTTTGTCACTTTTCTACATATATTATTCAGACTTCTGCTGTGTAGCCACCTGAAGGTGAGTGCCGATTATGATGGTGATTAGGTGACACATCTTCAGGGAACATCAGAGAGGGCAGTTAGCTATTGGTAAATATGCAGTTGCATAAAAAACAAAACCGTTCTCCATTCGGGAAGTCTTCTGGATCAAAGTGAAGATGACCTCATAATCTCATGAAAATGTTGAAATCTTCGTTAACATTTGTTAAGTTTGCAATGTGTACATTAGTTTATGAGATCTGCAGATCAATCAACATCAACAAGATATGTAATCTCTATGTTGAATGTATATGTAAATGCTGGGGATTAAATAAATCTGTCAGGTCAAAAAGACAAAATCACGATAACTGCATAAAAAGGCCTGAGGCTGTCCATGCACATGCTCAAAGACCTAATTTCAAAGCAGCCACAGCACATTATTTAATGTATGAGAGTTTGTACCTGCATGCCACAGATGGGGTCCTCACAAAGGTAGACTCCTGGTGACTGTCCATCCTGTAAGCTTCCTGTAGCCACTTCGGACAGCAGGTCCTTAAGGTTCTCCTCTTTTCCCCAAACCTGAACACCCACACATGTTAATCTGAGGTCTTGATATGATTGTATTTTTTGTCACTGACTTTTCTAAATTTGTCCAAAAGTAAATGTGACCTTACTAATAAATACAAAGAGGACATAAACTTTAATAAAACCCAAACAAAAAGTAAACAAAATGTGGATACAATCCCACTGCAGCTGCAGCTAATCCCATAACTGTTTGGAAAAGAGACCGCCAGCAGCCACTTTGGTCAAACATAACAGTAATTGCACTGAGAACAACTGAGGTTTCACCACTGACCTCGACAGCAGAGACGCGAACAGAGAAGCGTGCTCCTGTTTTCTCCTTTCTCTCATTGATTAGCTTAAACAACCAAGAGATGGCACAGGGTATTATACCCAGAGTCTGAAGGGAGTCGTCACTGCCAATCATTGTGTACGATTTTCCTAAACCACACAGACAGAAAGACAAAACAGGGCAAGGGTGAGCCGAACAAGCTGGAACTCTTTCGAAAGGCAAGTTATCAAAAACATACTCGCAAAGGAGAAGAAAGTATGAATACAGTTGGTATGAGTGAACGCTAGAGCCTCTAGATCTGCCTCTTCTGCACTCACAAAATTACTGCTCTGGCTGTCAGAAGGTGGAGATCAAACACACACCTAAATACAGCCGTATGTCACAGTGAGCAATCACATGCTGAAAACAGAGGACATCAAAAGCCTGACATCTGAGATGCAGAGTTTAGAAATGTATCTGATTTGTTCTGAAAGAGGACGAATGGGAGGTTGTCAGCCACCCTGTAATTTTACATTGTTCTCCTCAATGTTTCCCCGAGCCTTAGCTGTCAAAACTATGAAGCAATTCATGATTTTTTAATAAAACGTTATAAATAATAGAGGAAAGAGGGGAACAAGATTAGTACAAAGTATTTTATTTGCTGTCAGGTAAGCTCAGATAAGATTGGACGTGTTTGTATAGTGTTGACACGAAACCTGTCAAGTTTCACAATGCTGTTGCCTTCTGAAGCGAAACAAAGAGCTATTGCCCATATAGCATCAGCTATATTTAAAGAACATTAAAAAAAAACTGTGAATGATTTACTTTCGTTCCTTTTAGACCCAGTAGTTTTCTTTCTGTTTAACCAATCAGATGGATCCCTCAGCCCTAATGTCTCCATGTAACTCCATTACAATAACCAAACAACACTTAAACAACTCCCATTCTTTCTTTCTTTTGTTTTTTTTTTGCTTTTCATTTGATTGTTTTTTATATTTCCCCATCGAGTCTCAGTATATGTGACAGTCTGTGAGTAACTATCTGAGTGTGAGAATAGATGTGGCTCCACAATTTTCCTTCTGCTCTGACTACTGCAAGCTGTCAAGTCATGGTTCTCTGGCTGCCTGCTCCACTGACTAACACTGCAGCACAGTAACAATACACTTCAGGCAATGAAGTGTGTGTCCATGTCTCTGTTGTTGAGGTATATTCCTCGTAATTGGTCACATCAAGGCAAGATGCCGCTGCTGTGAACGTGGTGTTAAAGAACAAAACAGAGCTGTGTCATGAGTTCAAACACAAAAACACTTAAGATTACAATGACACAAGGACGCTCATCTCAAAATGATGTCCATTAACTCTCATAATGATAGCAATATCCATCAGACATGACATACAGCAAGATAATTCAACTCCATTCCTCAAGTCCATTTATTTGTTTCAGGATCATTTGGATTTTAATTCAATTTGACTTATTTAATCAAAACTGTTCTGCATGGTGTGAAAATGTGCAATAGTGTGTGTCTGTATCTCAAACTAAGATGAGTCCACAGCCAAGGGCAACGGAGCTGAGGAGAAATGTTCTTTTTGCTGCTTTCCTTTATTTTAATTAGTATAGGTGAAGCTATCATAAACCAGCCCTTCAGGATTTGAGGCCTTCGGTGAGCTGGACCACAGTGAGTGATCTCATCTGAGGGTACAGGAGCCATTTTAACTCAAACATGCCTGGCCATTGTTATAATGTAGCAGTGAAACTGATTAAGAACTCTGCCAAAGACACTTTGCTCTTTCAAGCATGTAAAAGAGCCTGCAGTATCATTAACACAATCAAACCCAGGCAGTGAAGGAGCTTTAGTTCCAGTTGTAAACATTATGTATGATACAATCACTTTCACTACAAATAATGACACAGTCTTTATTTTTATGTATTAACATCTGACAGTTGATTGTAAACATGGTACAATAACTAACCCTGGTTTGGACAGTTGGTCTGCTGTGTACCATGTAGTGACAGGCGGTGTCACTACATGGTGACAGGCAGTGTGTAAAGATGCCACACTTCTTTTTTTACCCTTTTTGATGAAGTGCCTGTAAAATAGCCAATTTCCTTTTCGGAGGGCCACTGGAAAAATGCAAACGCTTGTTACCAAAGCTTATTTTTTGTCTTTAGTTTTTTGTGTTTGGCCAGCTTGTCTTCCAGGTACCCTTAGTGCCCATCTTTAAGCGAAATAACAGAGTATTTGCTGACACAGTCATTGTTATTCTAGTAGGAATGGATGAGACACAACTTTTGAACTCAGAATCCAGCACAGCTCATAATCTTAAAATGATAAAGCATTGAGTAAACTTTACAAAGTCTCAATAAGTTCATGCAGCCAGTACAATTAATTTGACAAGTTTGACTCAAACCTTGTTGTTATCTATAAAACATTAATGTGAAAATGACCTAATCCCAGATTTCTATATGCACTTAACTTAAGTAATTTCCCAGCTATCTAATGAAAAACTTAGAATGGGATGCAGATGTGCCAAAGTGATGTGAAAAACACATTGTCAGATACCAGGTCTTTTGAATTGAAAACTGGACGTTGTTCAGTGAATCACGTGGACAGTTACAAAGAAGTAAACATCACTATTCCTGAAAAACCCAAACTTGTGACAATAATTCAGGGTGAATCAGTCACTTATTACAATTTGTGATTTATAAATCAGATGTATTGAGGCTTGTCGCATTAGTCTATGTTCCCATCAGGGGAAATTGTGGTCCATATATATATTTTTTTCTCCCTTTGTGATCCCTGTCTCATTTATACATTTCTTCTTTAAAGAATACATGCCTGTGTTGGGCTCTTCGCAAGGACTTAGCTGACACTCTAGTTTGTGATACAAAGATCCCAAACTGAGAGGGGAAATACTGCTACATGCACTTGGATGAGCACAACAGGAGAGCTGAAGAACATGTGCCACTGTGCGTGTGTGTTGTTGACTTTTTGTTCATGCCAGCGCATGTCGTTTAAAAGTGTTGCAGTGTGCAGCCAGGGGTCCTGACCCTTTTTTAAACAGCTTCTCTGAAAAAATCAGCTTCAGAAGGATTAAGGAATGAAAAGGGGAGAGAGAAACACAGACAGAGCAGACTTAGAGAGCTTTCAGCTTTGGAAGACGCTAATCCTCTTCTTTCTGTCTGTGATAGATGAGGACCAGTGGAGAGAGGGCCAAGTGAAGGACTGACACCGATAGTCAGACACACAAATTAGGGGCAACTCACAAGCCACACATGCTCTTGATTTTGTCACTCTTTCTGTGCGTGTGTGAGAGACTCTTACCCAGCTTAGAGTGTCCAAAGCAGAAGACACAGCCATCGGCTCCATTCACCACTGACTGAATAACCTCGGCAACCGTTCCTGCACACACTTCCGCCTAGCAACAGGCGGGCAATGGAAGGCAAGGATTAAGAAAAGCTGATGGACACATCCCATTTAAGAAAAAAATATGCAGAGTAATAAAAACCTTTTAGCTTATCATATGTGGTAATCATGTTCAATCAATTTGGTTGTAAATTAGAAAAAAGCTGATTCTGTGGTGTTGTTTTGAGTCACACTGGGTAAAATATCTTAGAACAACAACTGAAGAACCAGCTGTCCACATCTAGAAAAACGGACAGCCCCCAGCTTCCACCTAGATTAAGGTTAGGGTTAAGGTATGGGCATGGTTTAGCTGAGCCCAAGGGGGCAATTCAGCGATAAAGAAAGGAAACCAGATGAAAGCATGGATAAAAGCATTCTATCAAAGCATGTATGCCAGTGCATGTTGAAAATGTCAGTGTGCTTTGAAAGAGCTTCCTGTTTGTTACACACATCATTCAATCAACGGAAGATGTCATGCTACTTCTCATGTCTCATACTTCTCATCAGCTGGGAAATGTGGAGCCCGGGCGTCCCCTTCAACTTCATACTACAAGGTTAGTGCGACTACCCCCATGGTGAGCCTAAAGCAGGGCTTTTAATGAAGGTGGCTGTCTTATTGCCGTTATGGAGTAATATGGAACAGAGTGCAGCCAGGACTGTGAGAAGAAACTGTTTCATAAATAAAGTCCAAATATATATATATATATTTTTTTTTCATTCTTTTTTTTTTTCAAATCTTTCTTTAGTCTAAAAAAGCCTGTAAGAAAGCCTGGCTACGTCAAACCAATCAGCAGAGTAGTTCTTGTTCTTGGAAAATGCTCAGAATACAAAAGTATATGTGTTAATTCATTAAAGAATATCACATAACCACCCCTTTCAATGGGTCAGCTGAGGTTTTATTCAAAATCCCTCTCACCTGTGATGCATCAGGAGGAAACGCCGCATCAAAGGTGAAAATCTTTGGCGGGACCTGATTGGCCGCTCCCCTTTTCTGAGAAGTGGCATTTGAGGTCTGGTTTGTCGAAGGGTCCATGATAGTGATTTGTTTCTTTCGTGGGTCAACTTTCAAGAAGGAGCTTGATTCAGCAGCATCAGATTGAGACGCAGGACACACCCGCACCATCACTTTAACCTGCGGGTAAGTCACAGGAAACAAATATTTAGATGCAGATTATGGAATCTAGTAGAGTGGAGACAATGAGAGGAAAATGCCGGATATAAAGATATGTCATAATTTACTAAACATAAGCAGATGCACTCTTTGTTATTTTCTGTAAAGTAAAAGATCTTTAGATTTAACATTGGACAAACCCACAAAACTATACAATTAATGTGATAATATACAAGCTAAAGTTTACTATCTAAAGGTGGGTGCTACTTTTTAACAGCATGTTGTATGTTTTCAAAGATCAATCTTTTTTCAGTATCCCTTCAGGGCACTGATAGTTCTTCTCAGGGTTAATTTGAGGAAATGTTTCTATTTTCACATTAGCTGTCACAAACTACCTTCAAGACTAGAAATAGTTCTACAAGAGAATGTACACACTCCCTTTCTCTCTCATATCACCGCGTTCGCCCCAAGTTTTTCTACCTCCTTTTTTCCTCCCCTCTCCTCCTTTATCTGTCCCTTTTTAGTTATCTCCCTCTCCTTCTCTCCTTAATCCCTTCCTCTTCACCCTATTCTTCCAAGCTCACTGTCAGACATCAAAAGCTTGTATTGCAAGAATCCAGTTTTAGCTTAGTCTCATCTTTTTGCTCTTCCTGTCCTCCCACTTCTGTCAGAACATGTTAGCAGCCGCAGTTTAGCACCTGACAGATGCTGTTGTTTTCTTTGATGTCAGCGTGAGGAAAAATTTGCGTCATCGAATCTGACTAAGTTCCAGAGCATCTTAACACAGAAAAATGTCTGGTTTCTTTCTAAGCAGCAGATGTTTCAAAGTTTGAGGCACTGCATAGATGCTTGTTGCTGTTGTCTTCCTCCTCCTCTTGCTCAGGTAAGCAAATGATCCTTGTTTCTCCTTTTTTTAAGTCTTTGATCACAGACTAGATTACAAGGTGATTCAATCTGTCTTTTTATGTTTGTCCCTGAATATTTTCTACTACTTCCTGCTACAATATTAGGATTTGTATCGTATATCCCCTCTGATAATTAACGTTCTGTTGCCATGCTATTAATTATTTCCTATTTCCTCGAAGCAAAACCATATTGTTCTTGATCATATCATCAATATCAAAGATCATATAAAATATTTTTACTATTTTTTAGAAAGTGCTGCACTATTGGCTGCATGTTACATTAGTTTTGAAGAAACGGTAGCATCTTGAAACTTTTTAATATGTGATGAGCCCTGCCCTCTGGCCTGTTGGTGGCTGGGAACTGCGTAGAGGCCTTCCATGACCCTGAAAAGGATGGAGGAATAAAAATGAACTGAGTTGTGTTTGCACTGTGAAATTTGATGGATGCTAAAGTATGTGAGCAAATAACTGGTTAGTAAGTTATCTCAACCTGTTTGCTTTTATCTCCTCTTCATACTTGCTTTGTGTCATGTTTAATTTTTCTTTGCTCTTTTATGTGTCACTGTCTTCACAAGAAAATGAATCTCTATCTAAGTGAACACCTTCTCAGCTTTTTGGTTTTAAATAGTAATTGATGAAGTTCCTCTAGCAGTGTATGTCAGAGTGTATGGTTGTTTCTTTGTGGGCCTGTCCAGGGTGTACCCCACCTCTCACCCAATGACAGCTGAGAAAGGGTTGGGGCTGTCACTACCCTGCTAGGAATGAGTGGTGTAGAAAATATATGGATTGTTGGATTCTAGTTGCTGAAACACTTAATTAACCAGAAACAAAACAGAGATTAACTCATCTTTTTTAAGATTTTGGCCAATTATTTGTTGTTTACATTCTCACAATTACATCAATATTTGAATTTAGGTTGGATGTAAATAATTTTCCCTCCTACCTTTGTTATTGCATTCTAAACATTACAGCGTAAATAAATACAATTTCACTGCAGTGATAGAGTTTTTACAAAACAAGAGGAAAACATCCATTTCAACACTTTATCACTTCACCTAAATCGCTATATCAATTTAATTAGTTTGTATTTATATACTGCTAAATCACAGCAACTCTTATCTCAGGGCAAATCAAAGATACGGTTAATAATAATCCATGTCAAATTACAACAAAATCGAAGTAGTTAAAATCCAAATTAGTCTAATTTGTACATCTCCAACTCAAAATGTCATCTAGCTGAAGAAACACATTTCACTGTAACTGCATACAAGCACAAAGGCTAAAACCAATGAAGGCTCATTTTACTCTGTCATACATACACACAAACACTCACCAAATACAACACATGCTTTCATTTAGTTGCATCATTAAATGACCGCAGGGCATTAATGGGTTGGCTCCATTGAGTTTATGAATAAAAGTGTATGAGGTGCAGTGTCTTAGATGTAGTTCCTTATGCATTTGTACATATAAAAGTTTGTCCATTGATCCTAGTTAGCAAATTAATACCTCTATAAAATCGGAAATCGGAAAGGATCAATGTGAGGTCAAGAGTTTAAAGAACACACCAGCACACAACTAAGTACCTATACAGCGACACAATCCCACATACCCTTGCTAACAAACCCGTTTAGATGCATTGCTAGGCCTTCTGCTGACCCCAATAAAGAGGGCCATCCCATCAATAAGAGCCTGGGAGGAACACTTTTACTGCTGTACACTGCACAAGACGTACCTCATGAAGTCCTCCCTTTGAGATCCCATTTCCTCCTCAAGTTTCAGGGAGCACAAGGTGCATGTACGAGCACATCTGAGAGGTGGGAATGGGTCTGTAATACTATTCAACATCTATTTCTGAAAAGAATGTGTGTACGTGGACTTTAGTTTTTCTGCTTTATTTTTGTTGTCAACCAGTAATGAAGACATGCATTTAAGGATAAACCAACTCAAAGTTTCGATAAACACAAGAACAACATAATTGTGACTCATCGACCAGTTTTTAGAACTTTACGCCTTATCCAATATCAGAAAGATTCACTGTTTGATCAAACCTTCACACAATATTCCCTGAGGATCCTTCGTCTGGTTCCAATCAATACATGTGGCACAGCCAATATGACATTTGCAGGGTAAAAAGCTAATGGACTCCTCGTTCTGTTTAATGAAGAAGATGGAAGAGAACAGAGATGAAGGCGGGTACTGAGACAGAAATGGGTCACTAATAAGTCTAAACAACTCTCACTGCACTCTCACACTGTCCATATCTTTCCTGACCGCTTCATGTCCTGTCAATACTCTCCTCCATCTTTTATTCCGTGGTCCATCCTGCTCCCTCTGCTTTCCCTCAGTTCATGTCATATAAACAATAAAGCTCTCCCAAACTAATTTTCTGTTTGAGAAAAATTGTTTTGCGCAATATCAGTGTCCACCTACTTCATTCCTTCTTTTCTCTTTGCCTCATCTCCCTCCCTTCCTCAGGTCACACTCTCCCCTTTCCGCTGAACCAATTATACAAATCGGCGGTTTAACCTATTATCTATTCTATACGCTCCACCCTCCCACTGCGGTGAATACTGGTTTTGAATATAGGAGAAAAGGTGAGTTTCCCTCGACTTTTCTCTCTGTGACTATTTTATTTAAGCGTGATGATGTAAATAGTCTGTGTATGTGTGTATGCAGGATTATTGTTTAAAACTAATTTTAAACAGGACTATTTTAAGATTAGATATACAACAATTGCCAAAGAATTTGAATTTTTTTCCCCTAGAAACTGATTTCACCTCTAATATTCACAATTAGATAAACATCTTCCTGCTCCTATGCCACAGATCAAACACTCAGGTAATTCTTATAACCAATTTATGTACAAGAATTGTTGTAAACAGCTAAAACCAATCAAAACTAGGGCTTGGACAAGATTGTTCAATAGTCCCTTACAGCAATTCTTTAATGCTATTGGCTGTTAAATCAATACGAGACTAAATTTGAAATCCAATTGAGATCTGGAGTCTTCCCAAAGAGTCCACAAATAAGCAATTTTGCAAGCTCTTGTACTCAAAGATAGATACTTATACCATTTGGGAATAGAGAGTTCAGACTGTGGATCAATTCTAATTTGAACTCATTTATTCTTTCCATCTTATTCACTCTATCACAGGTGGTCCATGCCGGTTGTTCTCACTTGGATGCAAAGCAGAGATTTTACATTTAACCTCAATTTAAGAAGGAAGATATGTTACTTTGAAGATGTTATGTCATTGTATATTAGCTTAACACATCATTTGGACAGCTGTCTCAGTTATAGTAATACATTAGGCCTACCGGTAGTTGAAAAAGAAACCTCATTATTACATAGTCTACAATGGAATTCAATTTAAAATTAAAACAAGCACAGTTCAGGGAATCTTACTAGTGACACTACGATGATGACCCATTGAAAGAATTTATTGATTTAATATTTCAAAAAATCAGTTGTCAGGTTTTTCAGCAGGGGTCTGGAATCATGGGGTCCCTGTAGGCTGTCAGTGTTGGTTGAGGAGAAAATTAAATAATTTAAAAGATAGAAAGTTCTTGTTTTTGAAAATGTCATAATTAATTAAAATGTGAGCAGACAGGATAAAAGAAAATGTGTCAGTGGTGTTGAAAACTCTATAGTAGAACCTCTTTACCTGCCAGACATATGTCCACGTACTGTGCAGCCTCAAAATAACATCAGCAATAAACTATAGACCAAAAGTTTTTTCCTCAAATCTGCCATGGGTACATTGATCACTTAACAATCAAATGACTGTTGAGGGAATGGGTTATCTGAATGGATCTGTTGCCTATCTTAAATTCAAGTCAAGCCAGTTTGATTTATAGTGCCCCAGGAGATTTATACATATGCAGCAAAAAAAGCCTTTGCTTGTGTGTTGGTCACACACACATTCCAGGCACGCCAATACTGACATTAATATTTCAGTGGTGAAGTGCAACAAAGTGGCGACTGGGCTACACAGCAATACCAGACTCTATAACTCATTTAGAAACAACGGACACACAAACGTAGATGACCATAAAAACAAACAAAGACCCATGTTAGATGCACTACCACATTCTCACTCATGACAGACACGCACAGCTTGTGGCCTGAGAGGTATCATAGCTGCTATTAAAAATTGATTAGCTGTCATAGTATCATTTTCCCCCAAGGTCAAGTCGCAATCTGTGCGTGTGCATGTGTGCAAATGTAGACTGCTGAGATGAAAGAGGAGGAAAACACTCCCATAGAGCTTCATTGTCAGTCAGATACTGTGCAAAGAGGAGAGATGAAGGTTGAGCCAAAGGAGAAGGGAGAAAAGATGAAATGTATCCATTTTCTAGATATGAGAAATGAGGTGTGAGAAATGAGAGAAAGAAAACAGACTTCTCCCCCCATTAACTATCACAGCATAGCATGTCTAAGAATATTTCTAGTTCATTCTTCAGATGAGATCAACTGTCTCTAGATCAGATATTTATAACAGAAGAACTTATAAGTATGTAGCATCTCAAAGAAGGAAATTAAAGCCTGGAGGCAAAACTGTTACATGCATGTGTCGAAAGCTGGAGGTTCAAAATTTTGTTAGAAATCATCTAACAATTAATATAAACTTTTTTGATTGTGAGAAATGGTACCTCTCTTTATTAGTCTACAGATAAGTTTCAAGTTAGTTTCTGTATCATAATGAATTTTCTGTCCCTTTACCTTCATCTCCGAGCTTTAAAATGTCTCTTTTTCTGTCTGTGTAACACAGCAGATGGTTTCCGGAGTTTTAATACATACACAGTTTAATTATGTCCTCCTGCAGTTGCTGGTTTAAATGTAAGACCCCCAACTGGCTGATTTGATTAAAGTGATATGGACCTTACCAAGCATATTTAGAGAACCATGGTGTGTAGAAATAATAGTGAGGTGTTTGAGATACAAACACAACCAAGTTAAAGTGATTCTATATAATTTGACACAAAGGGAAAGAGGCTCTGTTTCTCTCTCTCTACATACACGCACACACACTCACAGCAGCAGAAGTACATCTGACCTGTGCAGGTTGATTTCCCCTGGCTTTAAATGTAATGTCTCAATCTGTTTTCTGTCATATTAACATGGGGGGAACACCAACCCCCCTGTTACAGACATAGACAAATTCCCATGTATTCTGGTAGATGTATCGTGCACACTTCCACAGGGGATTGTGTTGCTTCCTTGACAGCTTTCATTGTACACTATAATCCTATGAATGTGTGTGCATGCAAGTCTGCGTGTGAATGTGAGTTGTGCAAATGCCATTTCAGCAGGGAGCAGACCCCCACTGCAGGTGACATTTTTACTAGAGAAATGTCACTACAGCCATTTTCTTCCCATATGTTTGCATGAGCAAATGTGTGTGTGTCATTGTTTGAATGTGTGTTGATTAGGTGTTTGTAAGCAGCTATTGATATAATATGTATTGTTCCTAAGAATATGATCTTGCCCTTCCTTCATATTGCTTCCTCACCTTTCTTTTACACCCGGCATCTTCCAAATGAGTTCAAATGTATAAAAACACTAAAGCCTGCCAAAATAGAAAATACCTGTGGTTTCTAAAATCATCTTTAGTCTGTTGCAGTATAAATGCAAATATTTCTGGATCAGAATCAAATGAATCTATTTTCTCACGCTGTGGGCTACCCTAAGCTCGTAAATAAATCCCCAATCCATCTATCTAACTCATTTTCCTACCAGTGAAGTAACAATATTCCGGAAAGGAGACAGCTGATAAGCAATTATAATAACCCCCCCATCGTCATCAGAGCTCCACAAAAACCCCGATCACATCAGAGATCCAGTCCAATAGTCAGAATAGTATTTTGCTGAGAAAGCTTCCTAACTGAATGAAATGACCCGGAAGCAGCTGAGCATGAGCCGGGAAAAGAGCTTTTTGTATTGTCTAAATACTAATAGAAGGTGCTCTTATGCATTCTCAATTGTTTCCACAAGCACAACATACTCCAGCCCATCTATATGAGAGAAGGGAGATACTTCCATCACAATTCTTTGCAGCCATAACCTCTAAAGTGACTCATCGTGACCGCTGAATATGATTGCAGGAAGAGGAATATGAGTAGCCTTTAACATCCCAATACTTCACTTTTTTATGTCTTTCCTTTTTCAAAAATGAATGTTGACTATAATGCCATATTCTATAATCTCTACTATGATATATATGACATAATGACTAATAGACAACGTATCATATGTGTTTTTTAAGAATATTTATCAAACATTTACAGTTTCAGTGCAGCAGATCCACATCAAAGCTTATTGTTGTCTTTTCCTAAGTCCTTAAGATTTCCTCCCATAATCTTGCCAAAACCTGCTGACATTTTCCATGAGGTCAAAGGTAGGAGGTAAGGCAAAGATGATTTTACCATCTGATCAGATTTCAGAACATCTACATGATGGGGCAAAAAGATAGCAGGTGTGTTGTCAGTGTAGTCTAACACGTTGTAATACATTTGTACGCAAGATCAGAAAATATCACAGTGTGATAAGGATACAGAAAGAGAAACAATGAAGGCTAAGAACAGTTTATGACGAGGGTCCTTTTGTAAGTGCTTTCTGATGTCTACTTTATACAGTTTATGAATTATAAATTATTGATGGAAGGATTGAATTTGCTGTGTGTTCGTGTGTGTAAGTAATTATGTGAGCTGGAATCCGTATCCTTGACAACTGAGAGGACATCTGTCATCTCCATATGGACAGACTCATAGAAGAGATGGTGTGAAAAATGTGACAAAATGGATAACACTGAAAGAAATATAAAATGAGTAATTATGAAAACATTAAGAGTTGTAAATATATGGTTGTAAATGCCTTGTAAGTTAAAGGATAATAATGATTGTGAATATTATTATCAAAACAGCATAAAAGTTTTTGTAAACAATGCTTTATTAATTTAATTTATTAATGCATTCAATGTTAAAAAATATTGCCGTTAAATTGATAGCACTTTGACACAATTTGGTGGCAGATAGAACACTAGAAGTAAGGATAAGTAATATTAAAAAATAAAACTTTTTAAAATCAGCTCAAGTAAATTCTTGCGCTATTGGCGGCGGCTTAATTTTGCTATTGTATTTCACAGAGTATTTTGAAAGGCCGATCTGTTTTCATTCGGACATGGAAATGGCTTTGGTTCGCATCTTTACAAGAAAACTTGACACTTTTTCTGAGTGTAGCAATCAGCACTTTTCTAGCAGTGAAGACACACACACAGGAACACACAAGAACACTGAGTCTCTCGCTCAAACTGTGGAGGAGGGGACACTAAAAACTCATTACATGGACGATCAATATTGCACACACTCGAGAGGCAAGTGGTTGGTCCCCCCCCTCCCCTGCATCCACAATACACACATGAGTGTTTCATCAACCACAGGGTACGGTGACGGATGACTTTTGTCAGCCTGAGATGTGTTACCGTGGTAACCATTAGGTTACATTTTGGTATGGTACAGCAGGGGAGACTCACACACACACATGCCAGTGGACACACTGGTGAAGGTCATGATAAAATGCTACAGTTCAATGTTTGAACACATTCCAGCACTGTGTAGACTTAGTCGGCACTTGTCCTAAAACTAGCTCAATTTAAGTTGAAAATACAATCATTATAATTATTAGAATATCAGATACCAAAGGTGGCGATGGCAGTGATGTGAAAATGTGTCTTCTGAATACACAAGGCAAATTTCATGCTTTAACAACTCCATTTGTAACTTGTACTTAGCAAAAACGCATAATGGCTACTGTGACCAGAAGCCATTATGCCTACTTTTTTTTTTTGTATCTTTTGGAGTTTGGCAAAACGTTCACTCATTCTTTCATTAAGGGGGAAGTGTGTGACTATTTCAGAGTGATGTATTTGTGTACTGTAATGTAAGTTTATTCACTATTACCAAAGAGTCTGTTTAGAAGGACTCCGCTATTCCTTTATAGTTATTTATAGTTATTTTTTATTTCCTTTTTAATATTATTTTTAAAAATTCATTAGCGTTTATAGCAAGTTTTAGGAATTATTTTATTTTGATCTTTTTAGATAATACATTCAATTTCCTAAGACACCTTCTCCTTTTTTGTGTGGCAGAACTTTTGAATGGGGTATCTAAAATTTTGCAAGTCAAAATAATTATGAGCATGTTAACAATGTAATGAGGTGTGAATAAACACAATCTTAATCTGGCAGTAAATGAAAGTATTTCTGTTACCTTTCCAAGCCCAGGAGTATCTTTGATCTTATTGGCTGCACGGAGAAGGCAAGGTGGTGCTGGGGGAGGGGCTGTCAACAGTGCAGAGCTGAAATTTGTGGGGAACAGAGGAGGCTCAGATGATGGAGAAGATGATGTAACTGGGGCCACTGCTGCAGTTGTCTTCTGTTTCTTCTTTTTGGATGCTAAGTTCAACTTCTGTGCCGCTCTGAGAGAGAAAAATATCAAAAGGGAATTTTATTCCTTAGTCGGAATCATTATTCATCACTGTACAAAATCCCTCAACAAAACAATGACTTTTGGGGTTCAGAGTTACATCATTACATTTTGTAACACCATGAACATAGTTGAAATGTTAATTGTAAAGAGTGCATGTATGTTTCTATGAGATGAAGTTCATGTCCTCAAAAATCCCTTTACCTTTGAGCTTAAGAGAAGCCACAAAAATTATATAAAAATATGCTCCACTATTGATTCACCAGATTCCTTCTTTTTACCTCCAACTTTTAAAGCTGTACAAGTCCCTTCCTCTTTTCTTTTACTGTATAGTTGCTGCTTATTCTCAAATTAAAGTGGTACTTTACATCATTTTAAGTTCTTAACTTTTTATCCTACTCAGTCTATATTATTAAAAAAATGGACTGGATTTCTGCTTTAGCCTTTGATTTCTAGCAATTTATAGCAATGACAAGACAGTTAACACAAAACTCATAATTCCCTCCCAACTTATCTTTATGGAGTTGACAAGATGATCGCCGTCGAATTGAAGTCTTTCTTTGTTTGTTCTTAGTTTGTCATAACCTTGGAACAAATTCTGTAGACTCTATAGGTAATGATATTAACCCATTAAAGTCTCATCCAAGAAAAAAATTGAAAGATATTTTTTATTCTTTGGCTTTTTACAAAAAATGAAAAAAACAGAAAACTCTCTGAATATTCATTATTTATTACCGTGCGATAAATACAAATGATTGTCATAAGATATATCTGATTGTGTACAACAAGGTTTTGAGCAAAGTTTTTTAACTGAAAACTTGATGCAGGTGTCAGACACAAAACATTTCAGTAACTGCATGTATCAAATATGATACATATGGCATTATAGCGTTAATGTCCATTTCAGTAGCATGGCAGTGAAATAGAAAGACAAAGGATAAGTAAGGTGAGAATTTATCACAAAGCTAATCTTGTGAATTGGGTGAATTACATCATATCACTGAATTTCCTTCAGTGCAATTCAAGGGCACATTTGAATATAATTTAACCCACTGAAACTATAAAAATTTGATGATATATTAGGCCTTTAAAGCAGCACAGGCAGGGCTCGCTGCACTGCTGAAATTCTCACTTATATATAAAAGATTATAAAATGAGAGAGTGAAAGACATTTCACCCTGACACTGTCTAGGAGCCATATTCTCACACCATTGGCTTTCAATTAACTGCAGCCAAGTTGCAGAAATGAGACAGAGGAAGAGAGTCTTGGACAGAGAGAGAGCAGTTGGAGAGAGGGGGAGGAAGAGAGACGTGGATCCAGTGACCCATAGAACGATGAAGCATTTCACCATTTGACTGGCTCTCCCTCGAGATTAGTGTGTGAATCTGTGCGCGTGTGTCTGCATGTTTGCGACTGCAAATGTGTGGAATAAACCTCCATGAGAAGACCACTAATTGGTTTTTCACTGTGCAAAGTAAGCTTACATATGCAAAATGTGATCAGGGGCAATTACAGGTTTTCTTGTCATAATGGTGTTATGTTCAAATGCTCTCCATGCTGCCTGTAAAGGGGATTACTGACAAGTGTTTGCCAGGTGAAGAAATGCACTGTGTCTTACTGCATTAGAAAAGACTGTGGATCCAGGAAGGTGTCACAAAGGATTTTGTGACAAAAGAAACATATGTTTGAATTTGAATGTCTCATTTGCTTTTTCTGTTACCACAGAAAGAACATGCTGCTGAACTGCAGCAGTCCTGCTGATGTTTGTGGGATGAGACATGATCATGATGGATTCATGCACAGTTACTCCGCTGCTGGGGATTCCTCATGGTGAGGTGTACACTCTTCCCACAAGGCCTCACCCCTCGCTTTTGAATTTTTATTTTGCCCTCACATATGACCCTAGAATAAACGATGTGCATTTCTAAGCATCTTTGCTTTGAAAGATTGTTTTTACAATATCTCTTCAGATTAATTATCCACACTGGTTTCCTAATGTTTTCGATGCATCTATTGACATACATTATTGCAGTCTAATTATATTCTCTCCCCATGACTGATTCAATCTGAGGCATAACTGAAGCATTGTGCGTACACACAACATCTAACTGGAGGCGTTTTAATGACAAGTGGCCTGGGATTTGGTTAAGTGGACCTTCTCCAATCTCACCCTGAAGTGAACTGTACCTGTTTTCCATCCAGCAACTCAGTTTATCTATTCATCAGCTCCTCTCCAAAACCTTCACTTTACTCTCTGCTTTTCTTCCTGACCTTCCTTCTTCCTCTTTGTTTGTTCTGCTGTCCTATAACTTTCACAGTTCCAACATCTACACCTCTTTGTCTCCTTTAGATTTTTTTTCTCTATCCTCCATATATCCACTCATCCAACCCACCATCCATTCAACCATGCTGAGATCTATTGATTCCTTAGCCATCACAGCCTCTCCTCCCCTCAGCCATATCAAGCACCTCTCTCTTGTTAAAAAGCATCACAGGTCACAAATAGCCTCACTGGTAACATGATAGTGCATTGTTGTCTTCCTCCTATCACAGGACTACAAACATTTTCACTTGAAGCACACCAAGCTGATTTATGGCTGGTGTCTCTGGGCCGTGCTGTTGGTTATGTAGTTAATTACATTCTGTTTAGCAGGCCATACGTAGAGGAAGATATGGGGGAGACAGACAGTGATGGAGGGTGTATAAGTGTGTTAGTGTGTGTTGTGTGGGGTCAGTAAAACCGTCCTGACTCTTACTAAAAGCTGGCTTTCCTGACGTTATCTATTGACATGTACATGTCAACAAATGACTTCCCACTTCCTATTAAGACATTATTACACAAGATGCACTATCAGTGTGTTCCTTCCTACAGTTCAATTTTTCCTTGCACATTACACATTTGTCTGCTTTCATGTGCAAAATGTTCTTGCCATTCATTTACCAGTAATAAGAAATACAAAGTGATAGATGTGGCAACTCAGTTAGAAACTACCCATAAACATAAACTCACAATGCATGAAGTGAAATTAATGTTTAGAACATCTCAGTGATCAAATTGACAGAGTTAACATGAATATTTTAAAAAGGCAATTAAAAAAGCAAACTGACCTCTACTTGTTTAAGAAAAAAATACAAGACAGCAAGAGGTAAAGAGAAAAAGAGACAGCAATCCACATTCTCACTGCTACCCACCATGCGAAATAACAATGTCTTCCCAATCCACCTTTTCACTTGGGACCCACTCATTTACTGGGCTACCTCCTGCAATGAAGACACTCACACACAGCCCACCAAATCCCCGAAGATCAAATCCATGGAGCATGCAGTTGAAAAAATTCCTGCACTGGGAGACTCCCCCCCAGCCCCCCGGTGAATAGGATCATGCACATGCAATGGGAAGTCTCAATCCCTGTGTCCCCAGAGGGCCACTGCAGCACAAGGAAGATGTAGCACTGCTGTGCAAGGGTGACATATTCGCAGACAGATCGCTACTAATGAAAGATATTACTCAGATGCACATTAGCTGAGGTAAAGGAAAGGTCATTGTGGAAATGCAGAAATTGCTGGAGACAGTGAGGTGAGGGGAGAACAATGGGGAAAGAATGGAAGTTGAAAAAGAGAAAGGAGCAAAAGAGATGGCAATTAAATAAAATCAGGGGAGCAGCATTCTGTGGAGATTTAAAGGCAGAAAAATCGATAGAGAAAGCATGATGAAAAGATAGACAGGAGGATGCGGATCTGGTGAGAGGACATGTGGTGGACACAGGGATTTGTGAGAACAGACAGTGAGCATCAAGAAGATTGTGTGTTTGAGATGAGAGCATCTATATGCAGTTCACGTTTAAGAGTGTAGATCTGGACAGGCATAGGATTTACCAGCACTGCATGGCTGCACTCTGGCCATAAACACATCAAATACACACACTTACACGTGCGTTCAACAACAATGGAAACCATTTGTTTTTTTTGTTTTTTTCAAATTCTAATGAAAGCCAATAGTGACACAAATGTCCAAAAATACAGGTAACTTGCACAAATAAGCGTTTGAACAGCAAGCAAAACCTTCACTAACAAACACAATCTAATGGCGTAAAACGAGTTTGATGCAGTCGGTGACAGAAATTTACATGCATTGACTAAAACACATATAAACCAATAGGGTTCACACTCATAATGACAGATAGCTGTCTGTGTGTATACGTCTCTGTGTGTCTTTATACCTGACAGTTCAGGGAGTCATTTAGAGAAAGCCCTAGAGAGAACAAGTGTGTTCTAATGTGTTCAAGCTATTTACGAGTTAGTGTGTCCTCTTCTACACTGAAACGGACCAGTTATATATCAAACACACACACACAGACACACCTCATTATCTGCAGATGAAGACAGGAGGTGTGAAAGTGAGAAGGAAAACCATCAGTACCATTTAAAATGTGATTTAAAGCTACTCATTTGATAGGGCATCTTAGTAATTCTTCTGACACTGTGATACACTCCTCTTCTGGTGTAAGCTATGAATAATTCACTCATTCACAACGGGCCTGCCTTGTTTTGTCATCAATAATGTTCTCATATTTTCTGTGGCTCGTTCATGCTGCACCGCTCAGCACTTCTGGAGATTTGATTACACAGACGCGACTGATGACTGGATAGTTGATTTATGCACGAAACAACAAATGAGAAGTGCACTGGTTTTCTCAACACCTTCCTCTTTGGATGTCAGCGTTTAGATTAACTGAGAAATGCCATGGCAGAGCAGTATAAATGAGGGAAGGTCTGGACCTGTAGACTTCGGAATGATGAATTAAACATCAATATTCATTTTAATCTATTTGAAGTTAGTTAGTTATTTAGGATTAAGGTGCAGCATTGCTACCGTAGATGCATCGCAGTGTTGTCTTGAACCATTAAGTCATAATGACTGTATTTTTAAAGATTTCAAAAGCGTTATTTCACAGCCATATGTCTGGTGATCTCATTCAGAACTGTGCTCAATCAAGTTTAACACATTTTGGAGATGAACATCCCAACATATTTAGCATTCAGGTTGGATGAATGGAGAATTCAGAAACAGATGGTCATATTGATAGTCATCTGTTGAATGAAGTGCATTCTTCAGGGATGTTTTAGAGTAAAAACACCTACCTGGCAAAGAAGGAAGTAGCAGTGGACGTGGCAGTGGGTGCTGTGGTGGTAACGGCTGGAGTGTTCGATTGAAAGTTTGATGCTGAATTTGTGTGTGCAGGAGAGTGTGTGTTGTAGCGGTTCAGCGCAGCTTCAGTCAGTCCTTCTCTTGAGGCCTCTGAGATCATCTGGGAAATCTGATGAGGGAGAAAAAAAACACTTTTATTATATGGTTTCTGCAAGATCTTTGTAGATCATCTTTGTCAAGATCTTGTACACTTTTTAAAGACCTTCTGGCTCTGTTTGGTTAGTCTTGACTTTGCGCAGTCAGTATTTATTTCATGTTCTATCTTCCAGTTGAAAGAGAGAGAGAGAGAAAGTTGGACCTTTTACATTTATAATTACAACAAAAAAAGAAATGGAAAGATTATATAAATTTGCATTTTAGTTTAAAAAAAAGAAGTAATAATGTAGTTCTCCCTTAAATATCGATCTATCTGTTTTTTTCTTTTGGGTCATTGCAGAAGTGTCGCAGATTCATGATTTGGAATATAGACATGCACAATGTAAGGAAAGTTTTACCCCCCAGGCAGAGTCTTTCAGCAATAATGCAGTGATGATTATTGACCCAGTTGACCAGTAAGACTCTAGGCTTTCAGTCCTCCCTCCAAAGTGAAATGTAACGTGATGTGCCTCTTATAGACGTGAGACAGACTCTAAAGGTCATGGAAGATTTATCTGAATTGAAATAAAAAAGAACTCATTCTGTCTGAAGCTGATAAGTCTTTTGAATTACTCGCGCATTTGAATATTCAATATTCCATTCACGTTGATGCTGTTTTTATCATTTGTATTTGACATATATTATCATGTAATACATTAAGCAGTCAATTAACTTCCAACAAAACAACTTTAAATGAGGGCATGAGTATTTTCAATGCTTGTATTAACCAAAAACACTTGATTTTTCTCTGAAATCTTTAAATTTCACATATTAATATGGACTGATGTCTCTTTGTAATAAAAATATGAGTGGGAAATTTTCTTCATTTAAAGAACAGTTTGAAACTGTTTGTGATAAATAGACTGTACCCATATATCACCCACGACCACAGCAGTCTCTCTATTAAAATGTTCCTCTAATACTCAATTGTCCATCAAGGTCTTTGTCAGAATAAACAAAGTATTTGGATGAGACTGGTATCTGGAGACCATGTCTGTCTCGAAAACTTGTTCTGTCAAATGTGCCTGTATAGTGTGTTAGGCCCATCAAAAAATATTACCAGAAGCATCTCCAGACAGACAGTAAATCTGTCTCTGTGATTCTGACGCACATGTGCTTTGGCATTTATAAGGTGGATTTTACTGCTTTGCATGTGTGTGTATGTACCGCATGAAATGTGAAGTACGGTACAGATGTGGACGTGCGTCTTTGTCCAGGTTTGCATGTGTGTGTCTGAGGGTGTGTGGGCAAATCATTCATGACAAAGATATGGATTATTGATTACAGTTCTTTATGGTCTGCCTGCAGCCACACAACAGAGCACCTAAATTATGACCACAGGCTCAAATAAAAGAACTACACTTTTAACGGTGAAGATACAGTACATCTATTGTGTGTGTCTATATATGTCCATGTGTGTCCATGAGTCTCCAGTTCTCTGCACCTGTGTATATATGTGTGTAAATCAGCATTACTGTCTGCATGTATATTTACTGCTGAGGGCTCTTGAGGTCCACCAGGTCACCCACTGCCTTGATAGATAACCTACTACATATGAGGTGCCACTGTGGTTTATGAACCACATGCTTTGAGCATTCGCACTATTTTCAAATGCTCAGACTTTGCTAGCTATTCATGCATTATTAAAGGAGCAGTGAACATATGGAATTAGGGTCCAATGAATTACAGTAAATATGCAGCTGTGCTGGTAGCTCGTAAATCCTGACACATGGAAACAGGTAAAAACTGTACTTGCACATAAAAAATGCAATGGTTATCATGCATGCTGAAACCAGCAGAAAAGGTTGACCAGTAAGTAACCATTCATTTGGATTGCAATAGGTAAGACTTCTGGGGCTGACAGAACAGGCTCAGGTTTGTCCTGCTCTAACTGTTTTGTTTTGGCATCAAACAAATTAAAAGTTGATTTATAATTTGACCTGTAGGAACATAATTAATCATTATTATCATTTGCAAGAGATCCTATGAGTTGCCATTCTATCAAGGTAGAAGTACTTCATTAAACTTTTCTTTTCAGATCGGTATTACCTGTCACCACAAAAACCTGGGTCTTTTGACTGAAGGTTCCCTTCAGCTTTGGCTGTATTAACATCTTTATCCAACTATACACATGTCCCACATGATGCTCTGTTAGTAACAGCAAGGACTCTTTTCAATATGTTGTGGATGAAATGGGAAGTGACACAAAAGATCTTTTGAAATGTGATTAAGTCAGCCTCGGTAACCAAACTCAGACCCATCTGTAATAAACTGATTGGGATTTCATTTCAAAGCAGTTTCCATCCATCACCTGCAATATCTTCAAGATGATCAGAAGGTGAAACCTATTGGCCAACTTAGGGCATATACCCTGCAAAGGTCCACCCAATCATATGCATAACACACAGGCAAGCTCCCTCTCACATTTAAGGTCAATTTAGGCTAACCAATTATATGATATTCTTGTCTGTGTACCTTGGAAGAAAATATGGGAGAGCAGGGTAAATCTGTACTGAAGATCATGCAAAGTATTTTCAAGAAGCAAAGCAACGGGTTTAAACCCCCAAGCTTTCTGCTCTGAAACAGATCTCCACACGTGTATGGTATTGGTCTGCAGAAAGACAGACGCTTTGTCAGCCTGTTATTTTGTTCTGGTTTTTTTCGTCACCGTCTATCACATCTACACACATAAGTCTTTGGATTTTTTTCCTTCATTGGTAAGTTGCTAAATGGACATTTGTATACATTTGCATGGCTGTATTAAGTTAAGTGTGCTGCTGAGATTTTGATCAGGAGTCTAAACAGCAATTTAGAGCATATTTAGCGTATTGAAGAGCATATACCACATGTACACTATATTACTGACTGGGTGAAAATAACACAACAAAAACTACAAACCTTTTCAAAATTTTGAGGACTTTTATATGCTTCCCTAACTCTGTTGAGGCCTCTATTTTCATGAATGTGCTATTAGGGCTACCAAATTAGAATAACATCTGAAAGAATAGATTGTCACCTGACTAGCATATTTAAATAAACAACTAATATAACATTTCAAATTGTTCTTCCTCATGAGATCACATGTGTTTCATTCAGCAATTTCCACATTACACTGGGGCTGAATTGAAGTCTATATGTGAAACAAATAAAATAGGATGTAATTCACAGGATCAAATAAATTATCTCTATTGAGATGCCAAGTCTCAGCAGCAGTGTACAGCAAGTATCAGGACACAACGATAGCCAGCAAATCTATGAAAGCTGGACCACATTTGGACACAACTGGCCCTCAGTTTGTATGTGAATACTGATTTCTGCTAAAACAAAGGATTAAATAAATGACACATTTCTCCTCTTTTTCAACATGCAATCACTTATTTACATCTCTGTTGTGACTTGAATTAATCTTCCTTACTTATTTCTCTTTAGTCCATACAAGGACAGACAAAATGACAAAAAATGTTTAGCTCCAGTAAGGTAAAAACAATACGGTTACAGTTGTTTTTCCTAATGAAAATAGAGAAACGTAATCAAGATAGAAATAAAGGAGTGTGTGAGATAGACTGTATCTGACACAATGGAGGACAAAGAAAACAGTAGTGAAAAGTAGAATTTTGAAACGGTAGCTGGGGGTAAAGAACACTTACATGTAGAAATCTACAAAAGAAAAGAAATCCCATTCTGGGAATCAGCATGTATAACACACAGTAGTACTTGAAACCGCCTAAAGGAGATATGATACAATCCATGAAAATGACAGTTGGGAAAATATGTGAAAGAAATGAGGGGAAGAAAGTTAGTTTTATTTATGTTAACTTTGAGACCCAGATGACCTTATGGATTAATAAGACAATTCTTTCAGACACTTACTCAAAATAAAAACAATAACTCTAAAATATGATGGCATTGGCTATGCATGCTTGCTCTGATCATGCTCTCATGTATGTTCTCATGATGGTGGGTTAAGGGCTATGCTCAAGGGCACAGCAGTGGCACTAATAAGATGACAAATGCTGACTTCTCCCTCCCTGTCTAGATAGCAATGATCAAACTTTTCTAACCTTTAGATCATCAGTGCCCATTATAGATGATGCCCTGCCAAGTGTGCCAGAGTTGGTCAAGCTATATCAAAAGTGATAAGAAAGCAAGTGCTTTGGTTCATTTTATGTTCTGTTTCTCTCGCCCAGATGAGCAACAACACCCAGACACACAAACAGTACCATGGTAAATTAAGAGAGCTAAGAGAGCTACCCGTTGTAGAGATTATACACACACACACACATTCAGAGGCATACACCATGCCACATAAACCTGTTTTCAATTAGCTGCTTGAAGGACAGGGCGAGGGAAAGAAAGCGACATTGGATTTATTATTTCAGCCACCAAGACAATAGAAATTCTCTCTTTAAAATAAAGTGTTGAAATACACTTTTAATTCAAACTAAATATAATCACTCGAAAATCTCTTAAACAGAATATTTTAATTAAAAAAATGGTTAAAGTAATAAACTATAATGATTAATTTCTCCTGATTTTTTTTGTTTGTTCCAGTTTGGATCAGTACCCCGGGTGAAAACAAATAGGTTGTGCACTGTTGCGACTAGGTGAAGGAGAGTGTAAGAACACATTTGGTGAAAAGAGTCCAGGTGTCCTTAAACTTCTGACGGGATTTGTCCCCCTTATGTCAGACCTATTTAGAGGAATTAGGGAGAGCACCTCCTGAACACATTCTGGAAATAATGGAGGTTTTATTTGACTTGCAGTGGCAGAGAATAAGCTTGCGTGTTTGTAATGAAGCAAAAGCGATAAAATTACCCTGGGGTTTTCATAATTTCAAAACTCATGTCTGAAACACCAAAAATAGCAATTGTTGAATTAGAATTAATTCTGGTACTGCAAATCGATGTAAAAACATCCAAGCTACAACCCCAAAAAAGAGATAAGGACGGACATTCCCAGAACATGTGACCAGTGGAAGCAGGGCTCAGATGACATCTAATATAGGTTGGATCGACGCTAGGATAAATCCTAGAGAGTTTTTGACTTGCCAAAATTGGAATGTAAATTGTGACTGCTGGCAGGTGGCTTCATTTCTCTGTCTACGTCTGCAATGACACCTAACACCTAACCCTTCTTCTCTCCCATCTGTATCTGTTTTGCCATCTCTTACTGGAGGCTTTCAGTGGTCTGCCATCACCAGAGCCTTTGACAACCAATACATCAAGAAACACATCAAGTCTGGACTCTGTTTTGTACCTAAAGGAGGAGAACAGATTTCCAACAAGGTCAGATTATGATTACTTAATGACAAAAAAAGGGGGAAATGTCTCTATGAATGAGAATTCTGTATGTAAGCAAAGTACATGTCCCAAAATGAGAATGGCTAAAATCTCTCAGAATAGAGATCCTCGTTAAAAAAAGAAGGAAGATAAAGTACCGCTTAGAAATATCGTCCATCTTATTTTAGGCTTTCACTTCAACCACCCAGCATCTTGTATTTCTTTTATATTATAATTTTTTGTCTTCTCTTAACTCAGTTCTTCTCCATTCCTGATTTAAAGCAAGGCTGATTTATGATTGTGATCTTTTGTTCTTGCTGAGAAACTATTCCTGTCAAAGTCACAATGGAGATACACTGCCTAATTTTACCATTCCCAATACAGGTGCTAACAAATACAGAATACATAATAAGTTGGTAATAAATACTTTCATACATACACACCTCCATACCTTATTAGGATACCTACAGTAAATTCCAGCACAACTATTCACAAAGTATTTTCAACACAGTAACACAAATAAATTGCTGAATGGGTCTAAATGCATTCAAAATAAACATTTAAAAACAAGACTTTTATCCTAATTCACTCCACCCTGGCCACCACCACTGTGGGTACCCACCAGTGACTAATGTTTTTAGAGTCACATTCATATGTTATAGGCTGCAAGATGGTATTATTATCATTATGCTCAAAAACTACAAGAAAGAAATTAACCAATGATCATAAGGTGAACTGATAATTGAAACTTGCTAAAAGAGTAATATGTTTTCAGATTTAAGCACTTGCTCTATAATTGCTTGAACAGATGGGTGACATGAGACTAATTTATTTGTGAACACCAGGACAAGATAACAAAACAATTGCAATGATTGTCCTAAGTAATTTCTGATGAGAGCAACTGTGATTCAGGTCATCGCCTGAATAGAAT